TTGACAAAGCAACTGTTAAAGATATCAAAAAGCTTGAACTTTAATGTATCGTGGGGAATGGTTGTGTATACATTAAGTTGAAAAGTCTTAAGTTTTTAAGCTGTTAATTTTGGTAAAATCTTGTGATGTCAAATTTTCCAAATGTTCCTTGGAATTTTTTAGTATCCATATCTGATTTACACTACTTCATGAATTTATTGTTGCACAGTACTTTTGAAGTGTCTCTTTCACTACTGTTTGAAATATCTTAGATCTAGTGAGGAGTAAAGAAAGAGGCTTGGTTGAACATATACTAGAACCCGCTATGTACCTTTGTTTGTAAGGATCCTTATGAAGTTTCGAAATCCAATATACATGCATATTCGGTAGTTCAAATTCATTTTGGTTTTTTGGATATTAAAAATATTCAAAACTGACATATGATTTGAAGAATTTCTTCCTTAGAAAGGGAACTTGAGTATAAGTTGGAAAACCACTTGTAGAATTAAATCCAAATTCTACTAAAATACAATTTATTTAATGAGCCTTACAAACAAAGACAATCTTGTTATCTTGTTGTTGGAAGTTTCTGAATTTATTCTGTTTCATAGGAATATCGTTGGCTACTGAGTAACAATTAGTGAGTTTCAACATATTGTTAGACGGCATGGTCTCCCAACAATACATGCATTTGTCAGTGAAGAACTACAGCATCTTTTTAATGTCAACCTCAGAGCAAAATTGGAAGTGATTTTTTTTTAACATTTAAAGTATTTTTCAAAAACCCGATCTCAAGTTTTTAAAATTTTTAAGGTTTTCATTTTTATTGCAGAAGCAGTTGATGATATCAAAAAGCATACTGGTTATATCATCGGGAGGGTTATTTGTATATTAAGTGTAGAAGTGTAATAATATTTATTTTGAATTTACTGAAATTTGAAAAGAAAAAAAAAGATTTTAAAAGTTCTTCAAAATTAAATATCCACGTCTGTAAACAACTACTTCTAGAATACTAGTATGCTGTAGCGAAGAACATCTGAAGATTCTCCTTTACAGCAGTTCTAAATATCAGTTCACTTCTCTACTTTATTCCGATACTTTAAAGGAAATTTAACAAACCTCATTTTCCCTAAATCTGTATATCATTTTATCATATCTATAAGATTACTAGTGGAAGTTTTTTTTAAACAACTCTGAATCACGTTAAAAGAAAACATTTTGTAAAGCAAGTAATTATGTCCGTGTACATGTATCTAGTCTAGCAATTATCTACAGAGGACAAAAGAATTATTTGACAAATAGATCTATATAAAAATGATTTGTTTTCAGAAAATGAAAAGAATTTAAATAGAACTGATTCAATGCTTTCGTGTCCTTAAAATAGTTTGAGGAATTTAAATTCTAAAATTAAAAGACCAGTGCAAAAAATAAAAGAAGCCATACGTTTGAGTACCCTATTGATTAATCGTGCAGGAAAAAAGTTCCGTATTGTGTTGTCATATATAGATGATACAAAGGCCAGGCTTGAAAATTTTCAGAAAACTTTACCTTGACCGGTATCGATCGGCCTTTGTTTAAAATAAATGGGTTTGAAATGAATTTCATGAAAAGAGAAAATGTCAATAGAGTACGGGAAATTCATTTCACTGGGTACTTTTTCTTTAAAAATATGACGGAGATAATTGGTACTTTTGACAATTACAGAAATGAAAAAAAAACCAGTTATCTCTCTTAAGAGGCAATGCTTTTGTCCACGAAATTACGTATCCACGGAAAAAATTTGTTTTACAAAATACATGAAAATTGATACCAACGAAAATTGATAAAATCATAGTATACATTTTCTATTTTACCTACGTTACATAACACCTAGAGCTTTCTCCAAGATAAATTAAAGTCTGAGTAACATTTGCTTTTTCAGCAAAAGTAGAAAACTAAAACTCATAAATTTATTTGCCTTGTCATTTATAGTCATTTGCAAAATTATTTTGTTAAAAAACATTTTTATTATAATCTCTGAAATTGCGATTAAAATAATGCTCAAGTTTCTAATTGACAATATCTGTGTAGTTTTTTGAGATTTTCTTCAAACAATCTGTCCAATTTCCTATGGTATCAACCTCCTGTATTAATAGCTGACCTATCTTTGTAATGCAGGATTCTAAAACTGAAGGACTTTGTTAGGCCAGTCCTGTGGTAAAATGGTTCAGAGTTACAGGACTTGCTCTTCTTCTCTATTGTATTGGTAAAGGCAGTTATTACCTTCACCTCCAGCTATTGACACAAACGATGGATAAAATGGACTCTACATAGATTTACCTCCCATGGGGTTGTTTACTATATGAAACCATACAATACCTTCATTTGTTATAATAAAAAAAAAATTCCACAAAGACAAATCGAGTTTATTTCTTCAGAATCTAATACATTGTGATTTCTTGATCAATTCTTGTCATGAACTTCACAAAAAAGAACTTGTAAATAGTTAACTTAAAAAAAATAAACTCACATTTAATATGAAGAAGCATAATTTCCATGATAGGATAAAAATTCACTTTCAGTGAAGTCCTTAACAGCCTTTTCACATGATCAATTCATACATGTGACACTGAAAAACTCAATCTACAAGGTACCATGAGAAAAAAAATAAATTAAAGTCCGGAGTTCTTGGTTTCAAAGGTAATATAATATACATGTATATAATGTAAGCTTTACCTTGAATGTTTTAAATACATGTACTTCCATTAAATTAAGGGTCTTCTGAAAATTGTTATATTTGAAGCACATAAAAACTGATTTAGAACACAGATGATTCACTGTGAACTGTTTTTACCTTTGAAAATAACATATTTAAGGAAAGTAGTCATCCTTATGGAATTGTGCATTTCCATGAAAACAATCTTGGTGGGGTTTTTTTTTCAGAAATACATGTATTCCAGAAGTATGAATTTCAAAGATTGAGTTAGCAAGCACCACCAAATCTTTAAACTTTTTATATTTGAAAATTTCAACATATTTAAACACAAACATGTACAATGTACATGGGTTCACTTGTGATAGAATCATAATTATACTATTTGTCACCATCCTGATTTGTGAGTTATTACATGATTTTGTACAAGCACAGTAAAAATTAAATTCACACAATTTTTAAAGTTTGGTTTCACTTGTGACAAAGTAAAATCCTCTAAGTACTGCAGCTATTTATGTACAATATTTAGATATGCATTTTGGAAATACGTTTTTATCCTGCAACTACCCCTTGCACTGACCTAATAAAGGTAACCTAATTACCAATGCTTTCTCCGGTCACTGCCCTAATAAAGCCTCATGCATTTATTCCAACGTTCTAAAAGCATTGTGACGTCATGTATATTGCAATGTTTACGCCATAGTGTCATAGTTTCAACTGCAAAGATATGCCTAAATCTGTCGGAAATAGCTTGTTTTGGACATTCAAATGTTAAAATTTTGTTGCAGGATAAACAAAATACACGATGACTGTCTTAAAATATAAGCGATATTTGGGCTCGCTTATATTTCAAGACAGTAACCATGTATTTTATATTTATCATATTCCGATTCATCATAACTGAGCTTAAGGATGTTCGATCCTCAGCTTTTGAGTAGATTTTGGTCCTGTCCTTTATTTATAATTTATTTATAAAATTCTGCATCTTTTTTAAGTTCTTACATTAAATCTAAATTCTACAATGCAAATTGAACTATATTCAATGAATAATGCGATTAAATTCCATTCAAGTAGAATTAAGCAAGGAACTATATTTCGCGGCGGAAGGTTTTTTAGAAGAAAACGATCAGTTTTTTGCAGTGAAATGTGTTATGCTGGTTCTACAATATCTATTAAATTATTTCTCATGAATTCTTTCAACGAATTGTAACAAATATTTATATTGTAAATAAATTCTGAAAAACTGGAAAGAAATTGAGCCAATTTTACCGTAAAATTGACACTTTTTTAGTAATATTTAAAAATTTATATCATACACCCCCAGTTTTGGTATTCTTTTCTGAATATTTAAGATAACTTTGACCTATCTGCTTAAATTCAGCAAAAGTTTAAGACTTTAAAATAATTTTCTTGCTTATTAAATTTTCAATGCCAGAAAAATCACCTTTCATGAGTACAGAAAGGTCAAATAATTGATTATGCGAAGCGATTTGTTCGAAGTCACAATTTTAAAGTGTCTTTTTTTAAATAGGCTTATAGTTTATTTTGCTCCATGGTTTATTTGGATAAAAATATTGGAGGGTTAACGTCGAAGATTATTTTTTTTATTGAGACACAAATTTCAGTGCAAAAAGGTCATATTAAATGTTCTGTAGCGCCAAAAGAAGCATTTTGACACCCATTTTTGGATTTGATTTTTAACTAAGCTATGTGTGTAGAAAACTAGAAAACTGACCAGTCAGCAAGGGCCCCGCCATGGGGTAGAATTAATAGGGTGCAGCTTACGGAATGATTAAAAAATGTACGAAGAATAAGCAACAGCAACAGCAACTGTATTCTTAAAATTTCAAGATAATTCCTGAATATTCAAAAACCTGAAAATAATATCCTTGTACTTACATTAGGCAGTAAAGAACAACTTAATGTATATTTAAACAATTATGAAGAATTTGTGTTATATAAAATGCCAGCCTTGAATGAATGCAAATATCATGAAGGCTTGACCTTAACTTCAAACAAACAGCAGTTGCAGACAAAGGTTTTCATTAATCTTAAAGTGACAGAATAAAGAAAAGCCTACTTAATTTTCTGGCTAGATAATTAATCCCAAGGGATTAATTGTACCTCTCTCATCATTTTCTTCTAAAGTACAATAAGAACTTTTTCAGTATTAATGATAGAATGGGGTTTTTATACAACTATTCTAAAAATTAATAATATGCTTGAATTAACATAAAGTGAAAAAAGTAAATCAAAAAATGGTTCAAAAAATCTTCTTTAATCTATTTCTTGTTATAGAATTCAATGAAATCATAACTATTTAACAAATATAAATTATAAAAAATTATAATATTTAAATCCACATTTCAGAGTGTTCATAGCATTCCAAATTGACTTAACTTCAAAACAAACTTCATTTGCAGACAGAGGTGGTAATTCATCTCAATTTGACAGATAAAGATAATGCTCTGGATTTTCTTCAGGAGGAAAGCTAATTAATCTCAAGGGACTCATAGCAGCATTCAGTTTTACAATAGGAACATCTTCAGCAGTTATCTCTCTTTGCCAATGCTTTTGTATATAAAGTTAAGGAATCTACCCCACCACCCCAGCTCCAAACCAGGGGACATAGAGAACCAAACTTAGCATCAAAATATGTATTTCTGCCTACTGAACTATCATATCAAATTTGTACTTGATAGGGCAACCATAAAAAAAGTTGCCCATTCATTCTTATGCATAGTTAAGGAATCTACCCAACCACCCCAGCTCCAAACCAGAAGACATAGAGAACCAAACTTAGCATCAAAATATGTATTTCTGCCTACTGAACTACCATACCAAATTTGATCTTGATTGGGCAACCATAAAAAAAGTTATTAGAAAAAAACAGAAAATTTGTGGACGGAAGAGTGACAGACGGACAGACAGACAGACAGACAGACAGACAGACAGACAGACAGACAGACAGACAGACGGACGGACGGACAGAGTGATTACTATAGGGCACCCGCAAATCCTTGCGGGGCCCTAATAAAAATATACTTGAGAAAAAAAGTTTAAGACATTAAATATCAGGATCCAACGTCATTAAGACAACAGGGAAATTTTTGCCCTTGTTTTGCCCTACTCACAGGTGGGCAAATTTAAAGCGGAAGAAATTCACACTAAGTATTATTTCTTTTAAGTTTGACTTGGCAAATTTAAAACTGAACAAATCTGTTTGCAAGTGTGAGAGGGAAAAATAACATGAGACAAAAATAACCTTGTACACAGAAATTATATACATGTGTAATGCTATGAACACATTGCAAATAACTAGATATACAGATAAACATACGACAAGAAATGTTATAAATCACTGACAACACACAATCACTGGCATTCCTCACTATCACACAAAACTCTCATCATACAAAACAGAATCTGTCACCCCTCACATCTAGTCCTCAGCCATTCAGGCCAGCTGTTAATTGATTATTATGCAAAACGGTACAAAATTCTACAATCATTTCTCCTCACTCTCTTGAGAGACAATGAGACTTAATGAAATAATATTTAACAAGCATGAAATCCTTTTCAGAAAAATTCTTATATCACCAATCACTCAATAATTTTTGTCAATGTAAGCATTTATCATCAAACATTCAAGTCTAGATGCACAAGAAAAGGAATATTTTGGCTTCAGTGGGGATGATGATGAAGATTTATCAAGAAGAGCTAAAAATTTGTTGGGCTACTAACGGAATGGTTATAGTGGACTTTGTCTGGAGCTGAAGGATGGGGAGACCCCGGGAGATCTACTGTAGGGGGACCGCCGGCGGGGACTGCTCCCGTCCTGAGGGTGGTACTCCGTGGACCACAGGATTGGGGACTTGGCACCAGTCAGTGGTGAGGCGTAGCTTGTGTATGGGGGTGGGGAGTGACCTGTTAATTAAAATAAATCATTAAAACAAGAAAATAAGGTCAGGTAGGAGAATTCCCAAACGTTTGTATTAACATTCATTCTAGTCACAAAGACATTCATCATTGATTTCATTTGCAAGTCATTCTAGTCACAAACACATTGATTTATTTTAACCTGATTTATTATGAAAACTTATGGATAAAACAGAACTTACTGGGTGAGTATTGTGGTTGGGGGTAGACAGGTGGGGCAGGGGAGGCAGCTCCAGCGGCGCCGGGTCTGAGGAAGGCTGGGTTACTGCTGGTGGCCGCCTTGTAACGGGGTCCAATTATGTAGTGGTATCCTACAATAGAGAAACATTTTACCATAACTACTAACAAAGAGGTATGATTACCATAATAATTTCAGATATGTACTAATTAGGTGTGTTGAATATTCAGCAACTGCTCTCAGATATAATAAGATATCAAATATTGTTACATTAGGCCATATAAAATTGAAATCTTGGTTCTCAGGCCCGCGCGCATCCGTTTTGAGGTAGCCGCATTGCCGATTTTATTGTATTTTTGATAAAATAAAAAGTTGGTGTAGCGGAGACCAATCCGGGAAAAAAAATCCGACCTCATTTGTTTCGTAGTTTAGTATTCAAATATCACTTCCGGTATCCATTTACAATGAGATTTCGGCTACTTCGTTTGAAAATACATTCGAGGACATTACCTACGATGTTTACACGCTGTTAAGCAATGGATAAAGCAGAAATTTTGACCAGAAATGGAAAGTATATCTGTGATTAAAAAAATTATCTGTATGTTAAAGAAAATTCGGAAATTAAAATTAAAAAAAATACTTCCCTCATCTATTTTATTGCCAATAAAATGAAAAATAAAACGCCGCCCTCCCGCATCTGTTTTGGAGAAAATTGGCCTGAGAACCAGGGAATTAAATTTAGATAGCCTTAATGGTAGCTAACAAAATAACAAAACGTTCTGCAAGATCCTGCATTTTTAAAGGCTTCTTTATTTTCTAACACAAGAATTTAGCAAAACAAAGATCTTCCGTTTTCTTGTTTAACAAAAGCTGTGGTTGTGATACTGACCGACTAGAACTGCTACAGCTGTAGCTATGATGAGGAAGAGGTAGGAGAAGAAAGATTGATTGTTGTTGATGCTGTTCAGGAAGAAAGCTCCCCAACCCACAGAACGACCTCTGTAACCTAAAAAAAAAATTAAACAAGGTGTATTATGAAATGCACTGAAAGGAAGAGAAAATTTAATGGCTTGAAAATCAAAAACACAAGAAAAGTGATATTTTTTTTGGAAGCCATTCAAATGATTGAGTGAAATGCTCACCAAACTGTTCTGGCCGTTGTCCAATCAGCCTGACCGATACTGGGAGTCTGACCTTTTGACCTGTCTTTCTGCAGGATAGTTCCACATGACTCTCAGTATTCTCTCTCCCAATAATGGCCCCGCCCTTCCCCCGGGGGTCATGATTCCTACAATTTAGAATTCCCATAATGCAGCAGACTCTATAAGCCTTATGGGAAATATCAAAATAATTCCTGATTGGCTGTCTTTCTCTGGAGTCATGACCTCTAGAATGCTCTCATCACTTACTGCAGCCTAAAGAAATAATCAATTATATCTTATTTTCAGGTAAAATTACAAGTACCTTTAATGTATATAAGCAGTCAACATTATTCTTAATAACAATCAGCATATACGTACAATGCTACCTTGTTTTTCACTTTGAAAAGTTTCAGGAAGAATCAAATGGATTTGAAATATTCTGAGATAAAGATTTACCTGTATACACGAGGACAGATCAGGAATGGTGGATACTCTGATGGATGAGAGAGGAGCTGCTGTTGACAAGGAAACGTCCGAGTTGTGGACGTAAAACGGAGGCAGATACTGGTACTTCTTGACTGGTGCCCTCACTTCGGGTTGGTTCTCTATACTGGGGACCAGCACAAATAACTGTAGCTCTATAGACATGGTACTAATCTGTTGAACTAATGTCTCAGGGTGCAACTTTTTCAACAGGCATCCATACTTTCCTACAAATATTATTTTTTTGGAAAATTGAAATAAATGAGCTGATAATTAACTGAAAAAAAACTTTCATTTCATCTACATGTAACTTTGTAATGGCATAAGGTTTTTTTTTTATATAAATGTACTGTTTCTATAATAATAAAGTATTTTCTAACCTTTCTTGGAGCTGAATGTAGCTGACACTTGGAAAAGATTTTCCACAGCCAGACCATTGACATTGGAGGAGAACTCCAGTCCACAGCTGATAGGGACAAAACTCGGCTGGAAACCCCTCGCCTGAATCTCAACAGTACAATTCTCCCCTAGTAAATTAGTGTAAAACTGCCTCAATTTTTTTTTCAGTTTAATACAGGTCACAATATTTCTTTTAGAGTAATTATCTTAACGTTATATTTAGGTTATAATAGATTTTAAGTTCGTAACATGTAAAAGTAACTTGGGAATACATCTAAGAAATACTAAGGGTGATTGTAATTATTACCTATGACCTCTGAGTTGGAGTTCGAGGTCACTTGGATGAAGTACTCTGTCAGGCGATTCTTGACATTGGTGAGAAATGACCAGGAGTCATCAACGGTCAGCTGATCAATAGGAGTCACAGTCACCTGATCAAATACAGCAAGTCAATTTATTTGACACTGAAAAATTCTAAAATCTCAAATAAAGCCCCTATATATCTGTTGAATTCAGTGTATGTGGTGACATTACTTACCTCTGTGTAGGTGGTGACGTCCTGTGTCAATGTGTACTCCACCAGGTGGAGCCCTATAGTATCTGCGGTTCCAATCCCAGAATTCTTGTCTACATCAATCACCTTATTTCTACTCTGCCAGACGCCAGAATGACCTTGTAAAGAAAAGTCAAATAAGTCAAGCTCCAAAAACCTGGATCAAATCTTAGCTTTGGATATGGATTTACAAGTACTTTAACAAAGAAAAATACTAATTCTCCAAAGTCCTTCTGATAAATACATAAAATATATGGTTATGAGACTTACCCCTGGTAGAGACGAGGGGAGCTTTGAAACAGACGACTGTCCCCAGGGTCATCGTGACCTTGGACGGTGTGATGACATAATCCACTGGAATGTTGATATAATCCGCTAGCCAGGGATTTCTCTGATCCCACACCTAACAAATATTTTACACAAAAGTTGACATCACATACTAAAAACAACACCTAGCCAATTTATAGGATAGCATCTGAATCTAATATTTTCATATTCTGACCTTGAGTATGGTCTGTCCGACTTCTGCTGCCCTGACAACCAATGTGTCGTTCTCTGGTCCATGTTTAATGTGGACAAAGTCATATCTACAGAAAACAACAGTGTTAAAAGTAAACAATAAATAACATATAAACAATGTCAGTAAAGGTAAAAGTAGTTCACCTGCTACAGCGGTATCTCATCTGGACGTTGGTGGCATAAAACTGTTCTCCCACATTGTCATGGTAAGTTATGGCTAGGGTCAAGGTCGTCCCCACAGGAATGCTCTTAATGTAACCTTCAGATGTGCTCAAGGACAAATCGGAGTTTATCATCAAGTAAGAGACAGGTTTTACCTACAACAAAATTACATTTGATTTACAATGGTGTAAATAAATATCTTGAATTCTTTTGCAATTCCCATTGAATTAAAGATTACACTGTTTTACTGTACTGCTTTTCCAGTAGAGAATGCTCTCTACTTACTCTGACCAGCAGTACCAGGGTCTGATTCCTATGATGTGACTTGTAGCGCCACCTGCCCAGTGAGGGGACCACTGGACACTCCCTCCCCCTTCCAAAATCACTTACCCTGACCAGTAGTACCAGGGTCTGATTGGTCCCAAACTCCCCACAGTCACTTACCCTGACCAGTTGTACCAGTGTCTGATTAGTACCAAACTCCCCCCTGTCACTTACCCTGACCAGTTGTACCAGTGTCTGATTAGTACCAAACTCCTCCTGTGATGTGATGTGTAGGGCCACCTGACCAGTGAGGGGACCGCTGGACAGTAACCCTCCCTCCCCCCCCACCTCACAGTCACTTACCCTGACCAGTAGTACTAGGGTCTGATTAGTACCAAACTCCTCCTGTGATGTGACGTGTAGTGCCACCTGACCGGTGAGGGGACCACTGGACAGTAACCCTCCCTCCCCCACAGTCACTTACCCTGACCAGTAGTACCAGGGTCTGATTGGTCCCAAACTCCTCCTGCGATGTGACGTGTAGCGCCACCTGACCGGTGAGGGGACCGCTGGACAGTAACCCTCCCTCCCCCACAGTCACTGGGCTGGGGTCCTCCAGGGAGATCACTTGATAACTCATCTTAGCAGAGCCATCCCTGGTGAGAAAACAGTGTATCAAAAACATGTCTATAGGTGTACATACATAATACATACTCCTTATGGTCAGGCATACAGCTGTGTACTGATATATTTCTTAATGAAAGCAACAGAATTATTCACATAATAATATAATGGTATTTAAGCAACTTATCACTGGACTCAATTCACCAATTATTGATTGAACACTTTATATTTTTTAGTAAAAGGCTAATTACAAGGCATCTACATTTAGTCTACTTTTATGAAATCAATGATACTGCCTGATTATTCACAACTGTCAAAAATCCCATTTTTAAACAATTTTTGAATTGATGGAAACAAGGGTAAATCAATTGTTCATTGATATCTTTAATTTTTACCCACATAACTGTATGAGATAATAATGACTGAAATAATAACCTGTTAGTTTTGATGACAGCTTCTGTGTTTGGGGTCAACAGAATTCTTCCATCACAGACCTTTGGGCTGATAACTGCTAATTTTTCGAAAACCTACAAAGAAGGATAAATAAATTTAAAAACTCGTTTCATAGGCTCTATAGTAATTTCATTTTTTAATGACATTTCAAATCTACATGTATATGAACGATTTGACATCCCATCCTGCCACTATAACAGTAAAAAATCTACACTACCTACCTCCACCTGCAGTTCATCGGTCAGTGTTTTGTGACCTTTCATCTGTGACCTGGAGGTCAGATGGGGTCTAACAGTCAGTTTGACGGTGACCTGTCCAGCTGAGATGGCCACCAGTTGACGAGCAAAGTCACTCTCTGCTGGGGACTTCAGACCTGTCTGTAATATAAAACAAATTCAACTCATTTAAATACTGATCCAATGTATGTGTACCTATTGCTTTATTTCATTCTATATCTAATACAAATATGACTAAAAGAGAATGATTTTTTAAGATCATGTGTAAGATATAAAACTGTTCTGTATGTTAATACAGAGATGAGACCTTGTGGAAGACATTCTGTAGCTGTATGACGTCCTTGTTATTAATGGTCCAGGTGAACACCAGAGGAGGCATGGCCGACCCGAAAGAGAACGGGGTCTCGTGCTCGGACAGACCAATGGCATACAGCGGCATCTAAAGGATTAAACAGTTATAAGGAAGTTTACATGTTATATAATGTCTACATGAATATACAGTTTAAATACAGTAGCCAGAGTAAGCATATCTGTACTTACAGTTTAAATATAGTGGTCAGTGATCTGTACTTACAGTGTATATACAGTAGCCTCTGATGTTAATAAGGTGTCAGTACTGAGTTACTTACCTTGGTGCCTGTCTGCATCCTTGATAACGCGGAGTGAATCCTGATCCCCGACAATTCTACCACATTAACTGTTACTTCATCCTGACAAAACACAAAAACTATGTTTATCCCTCACATTTACTTCATTTGATGGTTTCCAATTAAAGGGTATATAACATAACTATAAAGAACTGAAATATTACTGTTTCAGTTGTGCCTATGTATAATGATATTGTATGTGCTGTATTGAAAAATAATTTTACCCTGAAAATGTACATACATCATGGTTTTTACCTGCACAAGTATTTACCTGAGAGTATATAATAGTCTCCCCTGTCTCTGGGTCCTGACCCACCGCCTGACCTAATACCCTCGTGGTCCCCAGATTCTGGGCGTCTAGTAGACCACTGCTGGACACGTCCGCGATACGACTGTCCTTGATAGAGAACAGCACTGTACACTGGGGAGTGGGGCCTCCTTTGCTGAGTACCTACAAAGATACAAAGGTTAAAGGTCATCCAAAGTGTTCCAGCAGCATATGGTTCTTAAAATCTGGGTAAAATGTCCTAAACTCACCTGAAACTTGGCTCCAATAATCATTGTGATGTTTCTGGGAATTAGCTGAAGTGGTGGAAAAACCTGCAAGTACATGTAGATAAAAGATTGAACACTTCAGAAGCAATCCAATGCTTTACTTATTGGATGTGTAAACTGTAAAGTTGTATTGAGATAAACCTGAAAATATTAAATTTCTACAGACCTCTACTGGTCTGGCGAGACTCCTAATCACCACACCGTGACTGGGATGAGCCTCCGCGACCAGTGAAGTGTGACCAACTTGTGCTCCATGCATGATGTAATACTCGGTGAAGAGTTCATCTCTCTGATCCTTGTCTTTTCTGAGGAAGAGAAGTCTAATTTTAGACTGTAATTAAATGAACATATAGAATAAGATTTACAACATAACTGCAATTTATTCTGAATAACAGAATTCTGATAAATTATAGACTCTATCAAAACGCTTGTACATGTATTGATGTGTTGCATGTACATATATTTGTAATGTAAACAAGAGGCCCACGGGCCTTATAGGTCACCTGAGTATCATGTAACAACTTTCCAGCGATTGTATTTGGTTCGTGTTTTAATCCAAAAGCCATGAAATTCACAAATTTTGAAGAAGGCACCATTGCTTATCAAAGGGCAGATTTCAAAGCATTAATTTATTTTTAGTCAAAGTACCCCCCCTGGTACCCCTGACCCAGCGTCCCTGAAAGTATCTATTTTGAAAGAGGCCCCTTCTTCATTATAAGGCCAGCATTTTTTTTTTTTTTTTGTTTAGGTTAAGTTATGAACATGAGAATAAAAAAGTCCCAAAGGAGAAGGAAATCAAATTTTTTTTTTTGATAAATCAATTATTAACATTTGTACATTCTTTTTTTTATGCTATTATAATAGGCTCCGTACCACTGGACACATAATGCTTACAAATAGGAAAGTAAAACATTTAATTGCTTATTTCATCATCTGCCAGTTTGGGCCAGTTATATAAATTTTGTGATGTTGGTCAAAATATATTTTAAAAAATCAATTCTTTAAAAGTCTTTCAATATATCTTCATTTTTTTTAATATGTGTTAGGTGAATGACACTGAATGTGTAGACATTGTTCTAAAATTTAATCCTATCATAAAACAGACAGGGGGTATTGCGGGTGTAGGGTGAACATTTTTTCAATCAAGTGTAAAATAATTTTTTTCTGGCTGATACAAATGATACTACATGCCTGTATATATTTGTATATTCTTGCCTTAACAATTTCTTCCTCAAATGGACTGAACCTCTCCCATAGTTTTATTCATTACATCTGATGCATAAGCAACAGTTTTCTATAACAGAGACCTAAAAAATGTTGCTGCCCGCTGGCAATATGCAACAGCTACCACGGGCAGTTTAAAACCTGGGGGAGGAAAATAATTTACAGAGAGATACTTTTGAAACGAATACATAATTATCTCACCAGCACGTCATTGTGCAACAAAGTCGTCAGCATTTTATTTGTCCTTTGAACAGGTGAAACTTTTTGAATGGCACTCGTATCGATGAATTTTACACTAAACCAAGCTATCTTTCAGATCTCGCTTTATTTCCCCGCCGTTTCATCTTAAAACCGGAAGTGCGAGTTCGTAAATGTGAAATCTCGATCCCGACTCAAATTTGACATCGGAAAGAAAAAAAAAAGTTTTATTTTATTCTGAAAATTCAAAACCTTGAGCGGAGGGTTTGTAAAAATAAAAATAAAATAAATCCTGGCCTTAAATATGTAATTAGATCATTAGCATATTAACCAGGATGTTCAAAGAATTCATGCATTTCACTATAAGGCCATATAAAATTAATCTTTAGATTCTCATCCCCGCCCGCCCCTCTCAAAATATCCCGCCCCGATGTTTTTTTATTTTGATTTTTGGGTATTTTCATGTATTTTTATTAAGTAAGAATTTATCATAGTTTAAGAGTTATCACACACATCTGTATTAAAATCGCGTGTCGCTATTTATAGCAAAAACGCCATGTGAAGAATGGAGAAAAATCGGCAATAAAAGCAGTTTAAATATAATTTGTCAGTATAGAGAAGGAAGAGAAGAAAAAATAGCATAAACACATATAGATACCATCACTGGCAGGAGCAAGTATGTAGAGAGATTGTAACTAAGTAAAAATAGACGAGGAAAATGACACCTGGTCAAGTTATATATAACGATCTCCAACTGTGTGACTTTGCTTTGAAATAAAATAAAAATCTACAACATCGTAGACAGACTTAAGAGAAGGCCTAGATTTTTCAGTAGAATAATTATTAGAACATTTATATAGATTTTGCAAAATATAAGAAGTCAAGCATACACAATTTATTGGTATCCCTACCTCATTTTGTTCAGGGTGTGCCGTATAATGTGTACTTGATAATTTGTTAATTAACAATAAATATTTTTTAATTTTTAAAGCAAAAATTTTCTTTAAATATCTAAAAGAATATGAAAAGAATTTAATCTATTCATATTTGCATTAAGGTAATGAAAAAAATGTGTACGGGGCGTCCATTGTTTTGTTGATACTTAGGCCTACTGTATACAGGGTTATTTTCGCCCCGTCTTATTTTCGCCCTTTTGAACTTGGGAACAATTTTGCCCCGTTTTATTTTCGCCCTGTCATAGCTCTGTTTAAGAAATTATGAGGTGTAAATTAAATTCGCCCCGTTTTAAATTCGCCCAATCAATGGGAGGACGAAAGGGGCGAAAATTTCCCCGTATACAGTATATATAAATTAACAATTATAAAAAATAAAAAATAAAATCCGCCCACCCGCCCCAATATTTTAGCAAATTAGGATGAGAATCTAAAGATTAATTTTACCTGGCCTAATATAATCATTAGAGCCCCACCCTAAAACAAGAACCCCTGACCCTGGGGCCATAAAATTCACAATTTTGGTAGAGGCACTCTTGCTCATCATAACTATGTACTTAGTTAGTTTATTTAATACCCAGGAGCAGAGAAGAAGATTTTCAAAGAATTCATGTATTTTCACTATATAATCAATAGAGCCCCACCCTAACACCAGAACCCCTGACCCTGGAGCCATAAAATTCACAATTTTGGTAGAGGCACTCTTGCTCATCATAACTATGTACTTAGTTAGTTTATTTAATACCCAGGAGCAGAGAAGATTTTCAAAGAATTCATGTATTTTCACTATATAATCAATAGAGCCCCACCCTAACACCAGAACCCCTGACCCTGGGGCCATAAAATTCACAATTTTGGTAGAGGCACTCTTGCTCATCATAACTATGTACTTAGTTGGTTTATTTAATACCCAGGAGCAGAGAAGAAGATTTTCAAAGAAATAATGCATTTTCACTACCTACTTATTTAGCCCCGCCCTAGCACTAGAACCCCTGACCCCAGGGCCATGAATTTTACAATTTTGGTAGAGGACTCATTGCTGATTACAATCATGCAAACAGTTTGACTGCTTAATGTCCAGGAGTAAAGAAGAAGATTTTTAAAGATTGCATTAATTTTAGTGGTTTTGGCCCCACCCCTCAGGCCCCAGGGGGGCAGGGATCATGAAATTCACAATTTTTGTTTTCACCCATAGATGCTTTGTGCCAAATTTGGTTGAAATTGGTTCAGTGGTTGCAGAGAAGAAGCTGAAAATGTTCAAATGTTAACGCACGACGCACGACGGACGACGACGGACAAAAACAGATAGCAATAGGTCACCTGAGTTTACTCAGGTGACCTAAAAAAACTCTAATATTTAAACATAAATCTCTTCTTCATAAAAATTCTAATTTCAAAAGAATAAATATGTAACATGGATATACATCCCTAAAGGCATTAACACTGTGGGTTAGGTTAGAAATTAACAATGTTTCACAGAAGATAAGCTTATAAAGATCAATATATTCAAAAAGGCAGAAAAATTCATTGCAAAAAGACACAACAATTAGAGGCTTAAAACAGATTTTCAATGTTTACATCTTCTTATGATTACGAATTATATAATACCTGATGGTGATGATATTAGAAGTGGGAATCAATTTGAGCCCCATTAATCTGAAGAAGCTGGCCTGCAGGGGTTTACCGTGGGCATCCATGACCCTGACCTTGACCCTGGCTTCTTTATCAACTTCAACCTACAACAACAGTCACAGATTAATAGATGAAATACTCATAAATAAAAGTATTTTAATACAGGCAAAATATTACAGTATGTTACATTTCTAGATCTATTGACAGTGTTTCTGCGTACCTTTTTCTGTGACGGAGAATTCCACACTTCCTAATTTATATATGTACATAACCCACACACATTTGATCCATTATCTCGTACCTTTTTCTGTGACGGAGAATTCCACACTTCCTAATTTATATATCGTCGCTGTAATATCAAATTGTCGTAAGTCAAAAATCCCAACTTTTCAGGAGAGACAAAAAACATATTTTTTCAAAATGTCGTATGTCTTGTGTTTTCCTTTCTGTCCTGGATGTTTTTCAGTACAAAGTGTCGTATCTCCAGAAAAGCATTGAAACAAACCCTTGCAATGTATTGTAAGCCTGATATTAGAACGCTCTAAAATGTATTATATGAATTAACATACTCATAAATTGATTGCAGTTACAAACTGCGAAAACAATTCAGTTTGTCATGAAGTAACCTAACATCTAACTTTTCATCAATCTTTCTATTGATTTCTCTGTTTATTAAATAAATATACATTGTTTTGTATGTTGAACACATTTTTTAGTAAAAATTATAAAAGATTTAACTACGGTAAAATTATAATTTTTCCCTTGATATCAGACTGCCAGTGACATCTATGTCAGTGCCCAGAGACATACGACCTTTTGTCAGAAAAAAAAATGCATCCAATGGACATACGTGCTTTTATCACACGTCTGTATCTCACTTTCTAATTGGCCTAGAGACATGACGTTTTGACAGAACTTGTATTCGATATTGCAGATTCCAAAATAGCAATAAAAATTTCGCGCCAAAAATCGACGTACGACATTTTGATATTACAGCGACGATATGTACATAACCCACACACATTTGATCCATTATCTCGTACCTTTTCTGTGACAGAGAGTTCCACACTTCCTACTCCCGACACAAATATGGTGGCTGTGGGCGGGTGTCGTACGTAAACACAGAGGTCATACACCGTGACCTTCATAGAGCCGTCAGCCACGGGAACCACCTGAAACACACATAACAACAAACATAACAAAATTGTACCGATATCTACACGATCTGAGGACAGCCTCCACAACAAAATAAAACTGAAATCTTCACAATGTTAGGATTAAACCTAAATACTTATAACTACTCCTTAAACAATTCTCTTTTTAATATGTGTACAGACACGTAGGTATTCTAGTAATTACCTGCATTTGTTTGGTTTTATCAGTATAGTCCAGATTAACAACCCCTGCTTGATCAGGGATCACATGGAAAAATCCTGAACCTTTCTGAATGTCCACAGTGTACTGAAAAGAACAAAAAAGGACCAAATGTTACGATTCCAAAAATATAAATACTGTATATACTCGCCTATAAGTCGGATTTTTGGGAGTTTATCTCTGGTCCAAAATTCTATGTCCGACTTATAGGCAAACTATAAAATTAATGGTATTATATGAGGTCAGTCCCTCTGATATATAAGCTTATTAAATACAACCGACTTATAGGCGGACCGACTTATAGGCGAGTATATACGGTACATGTAACAGTCACACAAAAATGGTAATGAAGACTTCTACTTAAGTCCAAAAGAGAATATTTGTGACACAACATGAAAATAAACAGGAAGTATTATCTAGTATGTACGTATTGTAACGTTAACACAGAACCTACAGTGTTAGAGGGGTGATTGAACAGGGAGATGATGTCTGGTTTAACAATGACTTCCTCCACAAGCTTTAGCTCCAGGGATCGGCTTATCTTGGGATGGATTCTGGTCTGAAATGTAAATATAAAACACATTTAGTAATGCTGCCAGATCAAACATCTTAACAAGACCAGTTATAGAGACAGCAACAGAGGAACACTAAGGTGATAGATTACTGATATGGGAGATCCAGCCATTCTCAGATGTCTCTCCAGGTAGGAGTTGATGGAGGCCGTGATGACGACAAACCCAGGTCGACCTCGAGGTAGCAGGCCTCGGTAATCTGTAAATAACACTTCAACTGTCACTACGGGGGATAAGAAAGGGCACCTCTTAAATGAAATTACCTTTATAATTGAGTTTACAAATACTTCATTTCTTATCAATCTTTGGTTACTTTTCTGAGTTGAAAAAAGTCTTATGAATTTGAACAGCTAGTATGCTGAGTTGTTATAGAGAAGACAGACACACTAACACTTGACGTAGTTAAATCCTTCCTTGCTGGACATGGTGGAGATCTGTATGGAGCTGTCCGCAGAATTGTCCAGTGTGGCCAGGGACTGGTCAGAAACTGACCACTGAAAGTCCAGGGAGGAGAAATTGTCAAACTTCCTCCCGAGGGAATCGGTGACCGTGACCAGGATGTCTAGATCTCTCTGACAGTGGACCGGGATCTGTAAGTACACATGTACTAATGTGAACATCAACACAACTTTAAAGATATTCAGAATGTGACTATTCAATAATAAATATGATCAAAATAATAAGCAAATATAAAGCATCGTTCATGTACCAGGGAGATAACTTCTATCCCATGCTCCTTTTTACAGGACGGGGAGGGAGATACTCTGAATACTTATAGTTATGCATTGCTCCCTTGTAATAGGAGATGGGGAGGGGTGAGAGAGTGTGTCTCTGGATACTTAGAGCTATGCCTTGCTCCCTTGTTACAGGGGCCAGGGGGAGGGGAAGGGGTGTCTCTGGATACTTACTGCTACGTCTTTCTATCTTGTAACAGACCAGAAGTCTCTGTCGAGACTGAAGCTCTACTGGTTTGTACTTATAGCAAAGGAAGAGAAAAGTACTTAAGCAGTTGGAAACTGAAACTTTTCAACAGCAATAAATAGAATAATGATCCTTAATTAAGTCTCTTTATGTTCTTAGTGCAGTCTACTTGCATGCCACATTTATATTATAATCAGACTAAAATTGTATTTGGAGTAGCATTTTGAAAGAATTTCACAGAAATTTCTATTTTTAGTAACCACGGCAACACCGTTCATCGAAATCAAAAACTTATACACAGAATTATGTATCTTATTGTAGTCTACTTGTGTGCCAAGTTATAATGAAATCAGACTAAAACTGTAGAAGGAGTAGCATTTTGAAAGAATTTCACAGAAATTTCTATTTTTAGTAACCACGGCTACACCGTTCATCAAAATCAAAAACTGATACACAGAATTGTGTATCTTAGTGTAGTCTACTTGTGTGCCAAGTTATATTGAAATCAGACTAAAACTGTAGGAGGAGTAGCATTTTGAAAGAATTTCACAGAAATTTCTATTTTTAGTAACCACGGCAACACCGTTCATCGAAATCAAAAACCGATATACAGAATTATGTATCTTAGTGTAGTCTACTTGTGTGCCAAGTTATATTGAAATCAGACTAAAATTGTAGGAGGAGTAGCATTTTGAAAGAATTTCACAGAAATTTCTATTTTTAGTAACCACGGCAACACCGTTCATCGAAATCAAAAACTGATACACAGAATTATGTATCTTAGTGTAGTCTACTTGTGTGCCAAGTTATATTGAAATCAGACCAAAACTGTAGGAGGAGTAGCATTTTGAAAAATTGTTTACAGACAGACAGACAGACAGACAGCTAGACTTCTATTATGTTAAAAAATTAGATATCAGGACAGACAGACAGACAGACAGACGGACGGACGGACGACGGACGCATTACTATCGCATAAGCTCTTCTGGTCTCTGACCAGTAGAGCTAAAAATTAGGGAGGGGGAAAGAGGGTGTGTGTCTCTGGGTACTTACTGCTATGCCTTGCTCCCTTGTTACAGGACAGGGAGGGAGATTCTCTGGATATTTCAGATCAGGGTGGAGCTGTAATCCCACAGGTTCAGAACAACTCAACCTGCACAAGACAAGAGGAAATCCTGATGATTATACCAAAGCTTAATCATATTAACAAGCAATTTTCTATGATGTTTTAGTGCTTTTGACTTAAAATTACTCAAACCAGTTAAATCTCTGGTCGTGATATCAATGAGGCTGGATAGATTCCTATTACATCTATAATGAACAATCTGAGACATGTACAGTCTTACATCTCCTGATTTCTATACAGCACACGACACTGACCTGATTGAGGCCTCGGCGATGGCTGGATACTGATTGGTCGTCGTTTTATTGTTACCCACCCTCAGGGTCATGACCTGCTCCCCAAAGTCAACACACGTCACATAAAAATTATGGAAACCACCTAAAATTAAAAAAATCTCTTAAAAGTGAAAGTAAAAATACACTCTTAAATAAAAATAAGAAAAGAAAAAAATCTCTTAAAAATTGAACATCATTTCTCTAATTAAATAATTTTTTTTTTTTACATTTCAATATCTGAAGGAGTCTTAAGACTTTGCTTCAGAAAATAACAGACGTTTTGCAACTATTAAATAAAATAAATCAATCAACAATATATAAATATTTTTAAAATTGAACATGTTCCAAAAAAAGTCCAAGATTTATAATGAAATTTTCAAGTACCTAACTGCATACTACCTTTATTATGCCAACTCTTTTATAATGCCAAAAATGTTATCAGTAAAACAGGGAGACACTACAAAGTTGACTTACGGTTGTTTCCTAGGATTTTCACTTTCTGAACCTTGGTGACAGCTGAGTTGGTACTGGTCACTAAAAGAAGAGAATTGGACAGATGATGAAGGATTCCCTTCTGATAGTTTAAATTTACAGCTTATAAGGATGAGCTCGAAACATTATACATCTATACTGTGTGAGTTACTCACAATCCTGGAAGTACTTGAGTGAGTCTATGACCCATGGCTGGGGACCGCCTTTAAAGACCAGCTCCTTCCTTGATCCTACAGCTATCACCGCCAACTTCTCGGGGTCCACAGGCTGAAATAGAGAATAGAAACTGTGTCTAGACAACAGAGAAAAGAAAATGTTTAGATATCTAGACAATCACTGAATCCACAGGCTGAAATAAAGAACAGAGACTATTTGTCAAGACAGGCAGAGAACAAAGACAATGTCTAGACAATTAAAGCTGACATGAATTCTTAAAAATGCAACTTTTTCATCTATGTACGACTTGTTTCATACCAACTATAGCCGTATTCCGCCATATTTCTTTCAGATACCTTGTCTTATTGTAACGATATATACCCCAATACCCTCGTTACACTTGAATGATTTTTTGGCTTGGCTATCGACTTGTGCACATCTCCGATGGTAAAACATTTGAAAACATATGGATTGATCAAGACATTTCAAACCACACAACATAATAATCATATTTCTGAATAATTAAAGATTTGAATCAAATGTTATAAAAAAGAAAGAAAATGCAAGTTTGAAAGAAAGATTTAGTTGCACGATTACGCATTTTTACACTGCGCCAATTTATGCAGAATAAACATGAAATAAAAAGCACTAAAACCCATAAACACCCTTTGAAATTATTATCATTTGAATGGAACAAAACAATCAGCGTCTTTGATTTGCATGTTTTATGCAGACTTTGATGCATGTCGAGAAAACACATCGAACGCTGTAAACGTACCCATACCTGGTAATAAGATCACTGCATCGGTTCGAAGATGTGCACAAATCAAGTGATATACACCTTGAATTCCATTTATTGAAATATGCATCACAAAAAAGAAATAAACTCCATAAAAACTCAATAAACACACTGTATCTACTCCGTACAGTCTAGCGCGTCGATACACTTAGTCCGTGCTGATCAGATTTTGGTCAGGGAAAATATCACAAGTGGAAAAGAGTGGTATTTGCGCGGCTGAAATGGGGGGGGGTCTAAAGTATAATTATAACGGCTTTATAAGGTATAACTGAAAATTGTCTATCTAGTTCTAATAAGCATTCTTTATATAGTCTGCAGTTGTTTTGCATCGCAAAATTCATTTGTCAATTACAACTGATTATTTTAGTACTAATCTCAAATCTAAACCAAATAATTTGATATACGGTAAATATTTAGTTCAAGACTTAAAAACATTTCATCAGAATACAAAAGTTTATGTGTACATCTGTACGTTCTTTAACATACCGCGGAAAAAAACATCCCCGTTTAGACTGATATTGAGGCATTCGTATTTTTAGAGGGGGGGGGGGGGGCAGAAATAATTACATGGCCGTTACCTAAATATTCTTGGAAGACAGACATTTCTGCCAAATCCATTTTTGAAGATTTTTTATTGTCTCACTCCGACCACAAAGTATGTACATTTTTGCGGAATGAGGCTGTTTTATAATTATTACAGGAAGTCTTTTGAGATTTCAGTATCCCTGTCTGACAGTCTAGTTTTTTTTTTGAAAATAAAAATAATTTCTGTCGCAATATTTGGGAGATACTTTTAAAAACTTGGGTAGGGATACTTGAAACCTGGTTGAATACAGATAATTTTTAATTACTCTTTTATTCATTGAACTCTCTCGCTCTCTCTCCTCCTGTAACCATCTGTAAGCGCAATAATAGATATAAAATCATATGTATTTTGTGCTGTACCATTTATTAGATCTTGGGACAGATCAAAGATTTTTTTTCAGGAGGGGATGTCGAAACTTGTTCAAAAATTGAAATAATAATTTTACTTTTGACAAAAAAATAAACCTAAACGCCGAAATTGAAAGGAAAATTCATGTAAACGTGAAGTCTACACATCATAGAAATGGGAACATTGGGAACTTTCTCAAATACATGTACCTTCTAAGGTAAGGAATCTGGACAAAAATTATGTAGACAAGAGGTATAAAAAAGCTAATTTTTGGTAGAATGTGGAACTCTCATCAGCAGTTTGCTTTCCCTTCCTATATGCTTCGACTATTAATAATTTATATCCAACCCAGATATTTCTTGACATGCAAAAAACCCCGTAAACTCGCCCAAACTTCAAAAACCTATTGGGGGGGGGGGGGTGTCGATGACATTTAATGCTTCAAACCTTTTTATTTTCCTACTAATTTAACACAAATTCGCGTTTACCAGGGAGTCTGCGTTTTCCGAGGGGGTTCCAACGTAACTTTTTTTCTAGCTTTTGTATATAAATTTAATAACCTTGCAAATCCCAGGGGGGTCCTAACCCCCTCTAGGTCCGCGCATGGCACTCATGCATAGAATCACAACACAGCCACTTCAATTTATATTGATGGGGGACCTCCAAAATCAGTTGACAAGCAAAAAAAAAAACAAAAAAACAAACAAACAAAAAACAAAACAAACACAAAAAACAAAACAAAAAAAATCTATGCACCACACTCTATGCAATCCTTTTTTGTAGGGGATAAAGGAGGCTTCCTGTAACTTTTCTGTTCGGTACATTACTTTTACATGCTTGAATCTGCGTATTTTCCTGCAAACAAAAAATGTGGAGAGAGCTTCCAAATCAAAATTTTAATTTATTTAAAACTGCAGCAAAGATTATCCACAGAAAAAGTGAGCCCCCCCCCCTCCATCTGCATACTACGGGAACATTTTAAACCTTTATCTTTAACGAATCGAAATATTGCATTCATACTTCTTAAAGTTAGTTACTTCTAAAAATAGTCCAAAAATGGTAAAAAAGTTAGCTGGAATCTTCCTTGCATGCTAAATCGAAGCCCTTAGCCAGGGTTACCAAGACAAGATAGAATTTGTCCCCATTGTAATTTAAAAGAACTCGGAGATGAGTTTCATTACATACTAAAGTGCAGCTCGCTACTTTCAGAAAGAATGCTATGCTTAACAGAAAAAAAGCATAAAATTTCAGAAAGTGATTAATTTTAAACACATTATGAATAACGATAAACACTGTTTTCTGAGAAAATTGTGCTCGTTTATAAAGAAAAACAAAAAACAAAATATGCCCCCCGCCTAAATTCCCATACTTCACATTCATAGCAATGTACAATTTTTTTGTTTAGTTTCTTATTCACGCATGCCTTATAGATCTACTGTTATGTATAAAATCACCTATATATTTTTGTGATTTTTGTATACTGTTGTAAAATGGTGAAGAGATTCAAATAATTGATTGAAAAATGATTGAAGGCACGCAGAGGAAAGCAAATCCGCGAAAATTACAGATTTAGAGAACTGAAAGGACAGAGATTTTTTTTATGTCTTCAAATTATTCATATTATTAGACTGTAAATATTTATATATTACAGAAAAAACATTCTCTCTCTCTCTCTCTCTCTCTGTATGTGTGTACAAAAATAAAGGCCGGGGGTTCCAATCCCTGGAACCCCACTCCACCTCTGGATCCGCCAATGAATTCTATTTTGATTATTCATGTACCACAGAATCAAACTCGTTTATTGTTTATAAAATTAAAAAAAAAAAAAAAAGAAGTTTAAATCAAGTTATATAAGGTCTTTATTTAAAAAAAAATAAATAAATAAAGCCAATACACATTATTTATAATGAAAATATATGATCGTAATAAAATCCGATCTTTTTCAGAGAGCGTTATGCATCCCCCCCCCCTTTCACGGGAGAATCTCGTCAAAGGATGAATGATTCGTAATGTTGCATGCTTTAAAATAAATTTAATGTAATTAAGCCATGTTTGTAAATTTTGTTTGCATTTACATATACAGACAAGAGTAATATTTATTTTTGAAAAAAAATGCACTTTTTCAGTCAGATTTCCACCTTTGAAATTTCCCCTGACCAAATAGACTGATCGTCGTGGACCACGTGTGTCCAAGTGCTATGTGGTGACAATGTTTTACTGTTCAGTTAGCAATGGATTACATGACTTCTGAGATGCATATTTCAATAAAAGTAAAATAGGATATTTCTTTCGACATGTGCACATCCCTGTAGCGATAGCAGTAGTCAGGTAAATATCTTTATCACAGCGTTCGATGCGTACTCTCGACCTGCATGCGTGCATATCCAAACGGCTTTTGCTGTTTTCTGTATTATTTTTTCTAAATTGCAGCAAATGCATTCAAAAATAATTTACTTGTCAGTATAGTTCTAGTTTTTGTTGGTTTTTAACTTTTAAAACATGTATTTGGTCAGTTTATGGATTTATGACAGCTATGCTTTCGGAGATGTGTACGTTTCGACAGCCAGGCTAGAAAATCACTCAAGTGAAACAAATGCACGAGGCTTTATATAACAGGTACAGGTGGCCAAAAATTTTCAAGTAAATATGGCGGAATCGAAGAAATATGGCGGACAAAGGCGTACAGGAATGTAGTAAGTCGTACAAAGATGAAAAATGATACCTTTTTAAGAGTTCATGTCAGCTTTAAGTTACATTTTATTCCTAAATATCAATGTAATGCATTTGTTGTTGTTCTCAAAGGATAAAACAGGTATTCTATTCATATCATCCCATTCCATAGACAATTTGAACCAAGTAATTTTTTTCATATTTTAGCTAAACAAGCTTAACATGTTCTCCATTTTTATACTCATCAGACTTTGAATTACAACAAAAACTTAAAATGCTGCGTAGAAATACATGACTGTATAACCCATAAACACATACCATGAGTGGATCATAAGCTGCTATGGTTACCGAGGCGGAGAGCTCGATTCCGCGAGAGGTGTAACTGGCGACGACGATCGTGTGACCTCTCTGTACGGCCTTCAGTCGTAACGAACAACACCCCTCCTCAGGGAGTGAAAGTGAAACTTCAACAACAAAGGGACAACTACAGGTTGTTTGTGAAATTTATTTCACATTAGAAATTTCAGCAAGTTCTTGATAATCAACAGGCTCATACCCCTTCTCCTAAGAAAAACTTTAAGAGGGCAAACATAACTTATTCTACATGTTTATGTAAAATAAATTTTATTCTGGAGCTAAAGCTATTTACCTCTGTTCAGCTGAAAGGCGGTTGGATCAGAGAATGAAATGTTGACCTTCATTCTGCGACAATCATTGAAAGGAAAAAGTTTTCCTGAAATGAAAACAAGAGGCCCATGGGCCACATCGCTCACCTGAGAAGCTTTGACCATTCTGTTCTTCACCAGATTTCCTCCTTGTAATACATAATGCATCCCCACCCTACCCAACTGATCATAATTTAGACATTTTGAAATCTACACTACCCCAGGATCCTTCCATGTGCACATAAGTTTCAGCTTTTCTGGTCCAGTGATTCTTGAGAAGAAGATTTTCAAAGATTTTTCCTATATATTTCTATGTAAAACTTTGATTCCCAATTGTGGCCCCGCCCTTCCCCCAGGGGTCATGATTTGAACAATTTAGAATCTACACTACCCCAGGATGCTTCCACATAAGTTTCAGCTTTTCTGGCCCAGTGGTTCTTAAGAAGAAGATTTTCAAAGATTTTTCCTATATATTTCTATATAAAACTTTGATTCCCCATTGTGGCCCCGCCCTTCCCCTAGTGTCATGATTTTTACAATTTAGAATCTACACTACCTTAGGATGCTTCCACTTAAAGTTCAGCTTTTCTGACCCAGTGGTTCTTTAGAAGAAGATTTTTTAATGACCCCACCCTATTTTTTTCTTTTCTTGATTATCTCCCCTTGTGAGGGGACTTGGCCCTTTATTTTAACAATTTAAATTCCCCTTCACCCAAGGATGCTTTGTACCAAGTTTGGTCAAAATTGGCCCAGTGGTCCTTGAGAAGAAGTCGAAAATGTGAAAAGTTTACAGACGGAGAGACAGACGGACGGACAGACAGACGGACGGACGGACGGACGACGGACAAAATGTGATCAGAAAAGCTCACCTGAGCCTTCGGCTCAGGTGAGCTAAAAAATTATTTAATTCTGACAATTATGTAACTATGCTTTCTACAATTCCACAAATGAAACTTTATACATGAAAGATACAAGTATAGACTGGTCAAATGAATTTACAGGCCAAGCATTCAAATTCCTGATGTAATATGAGATTTAATCAACAATTCAGTAACCTTGGTGGCGCCCGAACACAGAGAGGGGCATATCTAGCTCTGACCCCACCTTGGCCTCCACATGCTTCGGGACAAACTTCATGTCTTCTGGGGGCAAAACATACACCTAAAATACACAAAGTATTAGACTTTCTGTCACTAATTTTAGTTTTAATATGTGTACTTCTAGATAAAATTTTCACAAATAAAAGCCAAACTTGACTATGTTCTGAATAAAAAAATCTTGTATCTTTAAGTCTCTATCCATTAGACCCCAGTACTATCTCTCCCTTATATACCTTGGCTGTCCCTGTGTGAACCCTGTTCTTGGCGTCAGCGGCTGTGATGGTGGCCTCTCCTCGTTTTCCGGTTGTTATCTCCCCTCTGACGCTGACGGTGGTGGTCTCCACGTTAGAAGAGCTCCACACATACTCCCCACTTCCTCCCTTTACCTGTCACATGACAAAGGTAAATCTTAATGTTAGAAGCTTGTGGGAACATTTAATCAGAGGCAATTCTGACTATTTAAAGCTTAAAGTATAATCAAACATAACATTCAGTCTGCATTGAAATGAATCTGTGTACAGACAATTCTTTGTTTTGCTACCTGTAATCTGTACTGGTGACTTGTGGGTGAGTGGGGGTCCCAGGGAAAGTAGAGGGTCTCAGGTCTCACTCGAATTGGGTCAAAAATCTCCACCGAACGGGAGCCTTTTACAGCCGGGTTAACTTCTATCTCTGTACCATCCTACAGTGGAAACAGATCATAATCTCTACATCATAGGATCAAGTCAATACAGTGAAATATTAACCCTCAGTAATACATGTGTTTCACTAGAACATGAATGATGTTGACTTTATGACATTTTATGAAGTGATTTTTGGTTAAATTATCAACTTTATTTTTCTATATATAAACAAACAATGTCATGTAACATAAAATTGAAAGTTATCCTACATGTCCATACAGTCAAACATCTTCCCTTGAAAGTTGCTAAAGAAAGGCTAGACTGTCTATAGTCTGTCCTCTGTCTGTTTCTTTTTAAACAACTTTTCTTTATTCATCGAATAAAAACTTGCAGCTTATTATGGATATAATTCACCACCTCTTGTACAATGGCTTTCAAGACTCCTTCAACGCTGGTTTTCCCTGGCTTCAGTGTGTACACGTGGTGATAAGTCCCGTTCTTAGTGGAGAATCTCACATCAAAGTATTCTTTAGGAAACAAGGCCCTCAGTATAACATTCTACAAACATTAAGTATTGTTTCATTGTTGAATGAAACATTTCTATAAAACATGGCTATTTTTATCATTCAGCTCACACTTACATCAGATGGGTGGATTTTGTGGCTGTTTTTATTGTACATTTCTATAATGGTGTACTTACATCAGAAGGGTAGATTTTGTGGCTGTTTTTATCATACAGCTCAATGACAATGGTGTACTCTTTCTCAGTCTCCAGGACCCACTTCTTGTCCGGCAGCACCACAAACCCGAGGTAGCTAGGGGCCACAACGTACAACATGGCACTTGGTTTAACAAGGGCATCCTGCTTAAGATCTCAGAACTGTTAAGGAATCATATACTTTCTGGGGTTCAACTAAACTGTTTAAAATTGGAACTAAACTTTTGAACTAAATCATGAATTCATCAAAAAACTAATTATTACTGCACCTTGCGAGTTTAATTCAAAATAGTTTGAAAAACAAGAATTTTGGTATAAATAGAAATAAAACTATTGATGTAGCGGGTCAGAGCTGGAAGTAAGCAGAACAAGGATACTTCTGTCTGTCAGCACGATCTCCGTGGAGCCGATTTCCTGTCCTGTTGCTATGGAGGTTTTCGCGTCTAAGTTACAAACACCGTCATCCTGTACCTCCAGGAAGAACTGGGAGGAAGGCAGCGAGATTTCTGTCAAAAACAAAAATAGTATCTTATAGATGAATAATGTCACCTAGGTATCTGATAGGAAGGCAGGGAAATTTTTGTGAAAAACAAAACAGGTATATCTTGTAGAGAAATAATGATGCCTCGGTATCTGTAAGGGCAGCAAAGAAATCTCGCACATCGAAAATACATATATTTTTACTAATATTAAGGAGGCTAGGGGTCAACAAATTATTTTTTTTATTAACCACCAGATATACCATAAATTTTGGGATATGATATCTTTTGCTAAGAAGAATTTCATAAATTTTTGTTTTAAAATTTGATCATTTTGTTATATCTTTATATGGAGCTCTTCTCCTAAAGGAAATCAAAATAGTCTAAAAATGGCCAAAACCACCCAGCCTCTTTAATGTTGGGTAACAACAAACACAGATATTAACTTTTTACTGCTCATCTATCATAAAGCTCTGTTTGATCAGCTTTACCGCATATTTTAGGTTATCTAAATTTAATTCTCTGGTTCTCAGGCCAATTTTCTCCAAAAAAGATGCGGGAGGGCGGCATTTATCATTTTATTCGCAATTAAGTAGATGAGGGAGGTATTTTTTTAATTTGAATTTTCGAATTTTCTTTAAAATAAAGATATTTTTTTATTCAGATATACTTTCCATTTCTGTTCAAAGGGTGTGCTTTATCCATTGCTTATCAGCGTGTGAACATCCTTTTTGCAAATGGCTACCGGAAGTGATATTTGAGTATTAAACTACGAAAAAAAGGACAGAACTTTTTTCTGGATTGATCTCCGCAATACCAACCTTTTATTTTATCAAAAATACAATAAAATTAGCGATGCGGCTACCTCTAAACGGATGCGCGTGGGCCTGAGAACCAGAATTTTAATTTTAGGTACCCTTATTGTGGCGATTTTACATGTATTGTGGCATGTTTTCTTACCTATCATTGAGCTGTTCGATCAGCTTTACTGCATATTTTATTGTGGCGTGTTTTATTGTGGTGTGTTTTCTCACCTATCATTGAGCTCTGTTTGATCAGCTTTACTGCATATTTTATCGTGGCGTGTTTTAAGATGTAAGCCTCTGCAGGACTGATGATTAAGTTGGCCACCACTACTAACTTCACAACTGGTGATTTTACGTCCTAAAACAAAAATATATTTATGTTAAAAGATTACAGATACTTATAGAAGTTATCTTTTGAATTTTGGTTTATTACTCCTATTATTTTCTGTAAGCAGAAAATATATGCTTAACTTAATTACAATATACAAGCACAAAAAACACCAATTGGTACCAATAGCAGCCAATGTAAATATATTTGAACCCACTAGAAATAAGTTTGATAGTTTGCTGTAGAATACACCAGACCTTGTATGCCCCGTCTCTGATGCCAGCTTTAATGAGTGCGCTCCCCTACCTTGTATGCCCTGTCTCTGATGCGAGTTTTAACGAGTACACTCCCCTACCTTGTATGCCCCGTCCCTGATGCGAGCTTTAACGAGTGCGCTCCCGGTCCTCATCCCCTCCACCAGGATCAGATCTCCCTGTAGACCCTTGGCCTCCAGCTGCTGTATGTGATTAGGCATCACATAGTGAGACTCAGTGAACTTGGTGATTCTGAAAAATTAGAGGCCTTATAAGATATATCCACTTATAGGTACTGAACACAATGAATTTAATATACAGCATGAAAAAAAAAAAAACGTATTCTGATGGCTAAAATTGTCCAAATTAATGACAACAGACCAAATTAATGGAGAGTGTCAGTTTACTGATAAAATTCTCAGCAGTTTTCACAGAGAGAATAGCTGGATGATTTCCTTATAAACTTACGGATTAGCCGAAGAACTGTAGCTTGCTAGTCTGAAAAACTTAGGATGGATGACCAGAGAGCTAGAGTGCCATCCATTGAAAAAAAAGGTGTAACTATTGCACACAAAAATTTGTTCTGTATCTTCATTTATTTCTCCATGAATGTTAGTATTAAGTATGTGAAATTATGTGTTCTTCACATTTTTCTTTACAAATTTCACAAAACGTTCCCCAAAACCTTTGTTGAGAGCCCTCCTGAAATTGAAGTCATCAAAAAGTTAGCTTCTTCATAGTCCACTTGTACATACACATTTGTTGAGGAAGTATTGAAATAATACGTTAGGAGCACACTAGGGATGGGACGATACAACTTTTTCTATATCGATACTAACACGATATTTGAGCCACGAAACGATATGTATCATGATATGTTTAATTGCCTATAAAATCTTTTTTTTGCATTGAAATAAACAATTATTTCTTTGCAAATGAGAATAATTTATTCAAAATAGTTGTTTATATGTTGTAAAACAAAAATATTTTACTCAAGTGTTGTTAATTATTATTTATTTCATATCTACATGTATATTTATATTTAACTTATTTTTTTTTATATCTCGATATATCGTCCCAGCCCTAGAGCACACAGATATTTTGAGATGACAGCTGAATCTATGGAGAAAATAAATCAAGAAATTGGACATTTTGGGGCCCAATGAATGGCATTGAAGCTCTGTTATACTATCCAATTTTTTTCAGACCAGCAAGCTATAGATGTAAATCCACTGACAGACATACCAGTCAGTTATAGACCTCTATCTACACTACAGACAGACAAACCTGAGGATTTCCACCATCTCCTCTCGCTGGGTACTTGTGTCGGGGAGTAAACTCCACTCAAACTCCAATCCAGCCAAACTAGAAAACACATTTCCTACAACAAACACAAAATTCTTTTTTACTCTTGAAAAAAATTTTGATTTTTTCTTTAACCTTCCATACAATCTGCAATTGCAGCCAAAAACATTAATAAAACTGTGAAGGTTTAAGAACTGTTGAAAATGTTTTACTACTGGTCAAAAGTCATTTAAAAAAAGAATACAAATCAAAGTCATCCTTCAAGACTTTTAAGTCCTGTCAATAAAGTTACCATAATTAAGTAGGCTTCTTAACAATCAACTCTACCTTTTTCCTATTCTTATCTTAACAATTATGTCTACCTTCTTCATCATATCCTTTAATTATGAGCTCCTCTGGCGAGTCTTCTAGATACAATAATCGTGTGGTGGTCTCGATCTCAAATCGCGATATCGCCTCCACAATCACAATGCAACGAAGTACTTCTCCAGTTACTGTTAAAAAAAAAACACAATCACTTTCTAATCTGAATCTGTAAAAAAAAAATGAATACAGGTGTATTTATCATACTTATAAGAGTGATCAATTCTTTTTTTTTCGTTTTAGACATCACCTTTATTTTCAGCGAGCACCATGGAGGTTTTCCTGTAGGGAGACTTAGACACTGCAGAAATGACGGCTGAGAATGCGCACTCTCCATCTGTACTGTTAACCAGTTGAATCGTGGCCACTTCCTGCTGAGTGGACTGCCTGTAAGAGTGGTATTACTGGTGACAATATAGTAGTTAACTTTATACAGGGAAATATTTGCCTCTTTTTATTTTCACCCCTTTCGCCCTCGTTACAATGGGCGAATTCAAAACGGGGTGAATTCAAAGAACACAGTATGAATTCTTAAACAGAACCGTGACTGGGTGAATTTAAAACGGGGCAAAAATGTTAACAAGTGTAAAAGGGTGAAAATAACATGGGTTGAAAATAAACCTGCATACAGTATGTTCAATATGCACAACAAGGATCAGATCTAATCGCAGGAGAATATCTGCAGTTATCTTGAATATAATGTTCTTGTAGAGAAATTAAAAAAAGATATTCTAATTTCATCTAATCTCACTAGGTTTCTCGTGAGATCTTGGAAGTGCAACTAAATATCGAAGTCATATTCTGAACTGTTTTATGCAGTATGAAGTTCAAAGAGGTGTATCAAAGTCAAAGTGCAAGCTTTGAAATTAAAGTTTTTCATTATATGCAACTGTGCTTGTTACAGTGGTTCGCTGGTCCAACCTTGAAATATTGGTCTTAAGTACAAAATATGTCTAGTCAGTCACATACATTTATGACTTTTAATCTTTTTCTTAATTTTGAAAAAATGATTGAATGTGAGAAACTGTTACGCATTGATGGTGTGGACATAAGAAGGGCAAGTGCAGATACCTATTCAGGTTATTTTAAATTCTGAACACTTCAAACCGCATGCAACATTTGGTATGTCTAGACTCTATCATCATATCATTTAATGACATCATAAGAAACTTGAAAGGATAATGCAGAAAAAAAATTCATTCAGATCAAAGACTACATGTAGGTCCAAATTTTCTCTTGGTCCAGGCATTGTTGTTAGAGCTAGCAGTGCAAGCTGTGCCTTGCTGCACTTCACTGCACTTGCTATTAAATGCTTATAGCGAGCACAGAGAGTTCAATAGACTAAAGTGTAAGAACAGAGGAAATTCTGAATAAAATCTGTACATATGTCATGCAAAATTTTGTTTGAAACCTTCTCAGAATTCCTTTGCTACCAGGATTCCATATAAATAAAATAAATAACATATAAGGGTTCAGTTTGTAGAAGTCATAAAAGAAACAAAAAATAATGTTTTTTGTCAAAATTGTTTAGTTTCAACCAGACACTCGGCTATGAGTGTGACTAAAATCGGTAGCGAAACCCGGGCCGGGCCGGGAATTTCGAAACTGGAAACCGGGTTTTTGACAATAACGATATAAATACTCGTTCTTTCTTCATGAAATTTACGGACGTAGTTTATAATCATACTATTTGCCTTCGCTGAAAGTTTTAACTCAAAATATTATGTTTTACAATGATTTTCGCCGATTGTCCTTTTCCAGGTGACTAAAATGGGTAGCGAGCCCGGTTTACTCATTTTCGCGATTTAAAGCTTAATGCATTGAAAACGTATGGGATATTTGGATTTATTGGTCGATAATTAACTACAAATAGTTAAATTTTTCAATCATTATGAAATTAAATGTAAATTATTAGGGTTTTTGTCATTTTTGAAAGACCCCGGACAGGTCAAAACCGGACGCGTTTGCCCGGGATAAACTAAATAATTCCGAATTATTGACAGAGAAAGAATGTAGATTTTTTCTTAGTCATTGACCGATACATCTAAAAAAGAAATTGGAAAAAATACTAAAAATATGCAAATCAAACCACAGTCAAAATATATTTTAATTATATCATTGACAAGTTTTTTCTTCACAATTAGCTTGGAGTTCAAGTATTAATTTGAAATTTAATACTGGGGTAATGTCAGCACATCTGGGTTGGAAGATTCACTAAAAGACTAATTAAGATTCCTGAAGTTATTATCAGTAAATATGATAATGTCTGCACAGCTAGCTTGGTATACAGGTAATAATTAGCTGGGAGTTTTAATTAATTTAAATATTCTGAGTTCCTGTTCATATAGTTCAATTTCCATTAATTTAATTTCAAAGATCCAACAGAAATAATTGTAAATATGTTGCCAAAATTAAGTTTAAATCGCGAAAATGAGTAAACCGGGCTCGCTACCCATTTTAGTCATCTGGAAAAGGACAATTGGCGATAATCATTGAAAAACACAATATGCTGAGTTAAAACTTTCAGCGAAGGCAAATAATATGATTATAAACTATGTCCGTAAATTTCATGAAGAAAGAACGAGTATTTAATTTGTTATTGTCAAAAACCCGGTTTCCAGTTTCGAAATTCCCAGCCCGGCCTGGGTTTCGCTACCCATTTTAGTCACACTCCTCAGCTATTTCCATAAACCCTGACGAGCTCCGTTACGTCTCAGTCTAGATGTCTGGTGCAACTTGATGTTTGAAGTGGTGGATCAATGTTTCAAGTGTATTTTTTATGGTACAATTGCACTTGCCCCAACGGTCACACCGTTAAACATATTATCAAGCTATTTTGAATAGCTTAATTAGTGATATTCAGTCCATACAGCTATATAAAGAGATTATGCTGGACCTCTGGTATGCTTTATCATCATGACATGGTTCAAGTGTTATTTGCATCATTACTTGACTAAACAAACTTGAATAAGATAGAGGGGGACGTTAAGAAATAATCACTGTGGCTTGACAACAGCGACCTACCATGTGTAACAACTGTCTGGAAGTCTAGCTTCTTCTCTCGATAAATTGATTTTCAAAGTGAAATTTGTGATGACAGAGCTATGGTATGGCAGTAGAATCTTAGGGTCACTCAGTCTTGCTGAGTTTATGACAATCACTGCGGCAGTCAGTAAAATAAATAAACACAAAATAGTGTTTTGGTTTATCTTTGCCGCCATTCTGTGGATGAATGGGGGCTGCCATGAAATTAATCTCTAAAGAAAATGTGTATCATATTTCAAAACGATTTAAAAATTCTAAATACAAGAAATTAATTTTGGTTCAATAAATATGAAATATTTTAGAACATATATTAAAGAATATATATTCTATTAAATTACAAATTATTTGATTTTGTTTAGAGACTATAAAGCACTGACGAAATTTCCCGGATGACACCCCGCCATATTTGTTTATGAACCACTTAGCTTCCTGGACAAGTCGACTGAAATAGTATCTATGGTGTTTTTTTATTAACGTAGATCGTCAAGAAAGCCTCCAAAATGGCGAGTGATTTTGACCCAGAGGATAAATACAGGTATTTATTTGTGAGTCAAAAGGAAACTCGAATTAGACAGCCCCTCCTATAAAAAAAAAGTCCATCAATAATACAGAAGATTGATAGATATATTGCCTTTCTGGATTTATGTGAAACACAAAAAGACACCTTTTATAGGCTTTGAGCTAAAAATAAAATAAAAACAAATACAGAATTATGACTGTCCATTGTCAGCACAATTCTGACCAGGGTAACTGTGCTGGTATTCCAGTAATGTTATGACTCAGAACTTTAAAAACTTGTGAATGACATAATTGTTAATGACTTTAATGTGCAGTTGACTTTTCCTGTTATAAGACTACCTAGAGGACCTGTTACTTTTATGTGGAAAAGTTCTTTATGTTTTAAATATTTTGCAGTCTTCTAAGCAATGACACAAAGTATCAGGCCTTTAATTCTCAACAGTTCGTAAAATCATACACATATGTATAATATGTAATATGATGACAGTGCTACCATTACGGTGAGCGCAGATACTAATCCAGTTTTCATTTAGATCAGACTTGTCAAACCGCACGTGACATTTGGTGCGTTTAAGACTCTGACTTCTCAAGACATTGTTGCTTTACCAAACCGAAGCCTGAGCAGGTGATTTCAATCAGTTTATGACTATTTTTCTGCAGTAAACAGATAAATTCATGAAACAAGGCAAATTGATTATTCAATTAACTTTTGTCCTTATTCTCGCGAGAACGTTGCTTTATAGTTTGTGTCCGAAGCGATGCATTGTGGGTCCAAATTACTGCGGAAAAAATTTTATGGAATATGAATGTGCAGTAGTCCAAATTTTCTCTTCGCCCAGGCATTGTTGTTAGAGCTCGCAGTTACGAGCGTCGCGAAGCGACGCTCGTTGTGCTTGCTATAATTTGTCTGACAGTGAAATTGTAAGGGCTAGTGCAGCTTCATTTACATGATGGACCTTTTTGAATGTTGTTTTGCATTTTACCTCTGACTTTACCTTCTTAAGTCTGTGTTCACTGCATGTTACAGAGCTCGACATTAAGGCTTCTCCGCTTGTTCAGTACCAGTGAAAAAAAATTAGGGACAAGTGAATATTGCATGGCACTTATTCGATTTGACAAGTGCATTCAAATGTAAAGGAGTCTCTAAATAAGAAAAAAGAATGACTGTTGAAAGTTAATCGGTAGTTTTAAGACAGAAGCTGTACTTTGATCCCAATAGGGATCACTATTAATTGAGTTCACATTCGACTGGGATTGAAGTTCACTAATTGCATATTATTAGAAAGGCATGAAAAGTACAAAGTTGTGATTCTGTTTGATGTTGACAGGTTGACTTGTGAACATTCTGAGCTTCTCATAAAAATTGGAAATATCTGAGCCACTAAGTTACTGACTAAGTGATAAAAACATGAAGTCCTACACAAAATCATGATCAAACATTTTATATCCTCTTCAAGCTCTGGAGGAAATCTGAGTCATGTTTACTCAGGGTTCCAAACTCACTAGGAACAACAGCTGCCACAGGACTGGCTACCCTTAAAAGTTATTGGCCCTGCTGATTTGAATCTGCCAGTAGTCCATGTAGTCTGGGTATCACAACTGAAAAGTCCTATTGGGATTTGTGATATAATGCAATATTGAATTTTTTATTGCAGTGTATCACAATATAAAATTCATAATCAGTTTAGCTTTTTCCATCTTACATGAAAACACAAATGCAAATTTCGTGTTCTGGAGTTGATATTGACATTGTCTGGTTTATTGTGTTCTCGCAAGTGCTTGGCTGAGTTTGTTGTGCACAAGAATTTTTCGGATCACATCGCAATAGTGAGATTCAGCTTTAACTTAAAGATGTTTCATGTATGATGTAGCAGCCAGCTGTTAATTATCTTTCAATTTCTAAACAATTCTGCATCATTTGCAACCATATTCTACTTGAAAAACAGGCAGGTAATTCTGTGTAACGTTTTATAAAACCTGAACAAGCATTGAAAAAAATAACGTTACATATTATGAAGAACGAAATGGGGATATACCAGTTAACTGGTATAAAATATCACACAGCACTTTCTGCCAGACCTGATTAAAAAGCTCAATATTGTTCTGAAAGTATTAACTTGAGTCTCTGTTTTTGTCCTGATTTCTGTAATTTAAAGAATTGTGGAATACTTTTAAAAATGGTTTACTTTATGCATAGTATTAATTGAAATGAAAACAAAATGTGTTGACAGTGGGTCTAAACTATATTTATACTTGTTTCTTTTATAGTTGGTATTTTGGGACCCTTTCGCGAGACGAGACCAATGAGATATTAAATCCAACAGATTCGGGAGTATTTCTGGTCAGGGATAGTCAGTCTATACAGGGAGACTTTGTTCTCTGTGTCAAGTAAGTACAAGTACTGAATCACAAGCAGTGGAATCTAATTATAATTTTATTTGAATGATAGAAAGAAATCTAACCAGTAAATATTGTATAAATGATTATAATTTGATGAAATATAAGCTTGTTTTGATAATTTTTAAATATTAATATTTACATTTGCCCAATGATAATACCTTAGGCCAAATAAAATATTTGTGTGGTTCCAGTTACCCTACCTTCCCTATTTTTCACCATGTTCACCCCTGACCCTAAACTTTTTGGGGGGGGGGAATTTCATTTTTTTTTTCCGGAACATTCTCTCTTTCCTGTGTAAAGACAATTATGACCCCTAGAGAATAATGACTGGGGGGGGGGGGGATTTTCATAACTAGGCACACATCAGTGTTGATTAGTATATTATCATGCCACATTTAAATGCCACCTGCAAATCAATTATATGTATTATGAAGAAAAATTTTAAATATTTTGTAAAGGAAAAAAAAATCCCTACCTACCTATCCTAATTTTTTGGAAGGTGTAACCGGAACCTTACCTATTTTTTTGTTTGGCCTTGTTTGGCCTTATAGCATGTATATATTAAGCATTGTATATTAAGGAAGCAGATATTAATACCGTTTTAAGGACTGTATTACTTGATACTAGTGTGTTGACTTCCTGATTCTCGGTTTTATTTACAGAGAAGAAAACAAGATCAGCCACTACATCATCAACAGAATCCACGTAGGGACAGGAACCAGATTCAGGATCGGTGACCAGGAGTTCTCAGACATTGCTAGTCTTCTTAGCTTTTACAAAACACATTACTTAGACACCACCTCACTAATTAAGCCTGTAAGTACATTACTTCGACACCACCTCACTAATTAAGCCCGTAAGTACATTACTTAGACACCACCTCACTAATTAAGCCCGTAAGTACATTACTTCGACACCACCTCACTAATTAAGCCTGTGAGTACATTATTTAGACACCACCTCACTAAATAAATCTTTTAGTAAACTCAAGGTTGTCCTAAGAATTTAAGTAAAATGAAATCTGGGGTTCCCCCCAGATTGGGAGTTTAGAAGGAATACCAAAATATCCAGGGGATTACATCAATATAGACAGAGAAATTCTCTGGTCCCATGTGTCAGGGACAACCCTGAAACTCTGCATTTAGGTATCAATCATTTACTAAGCCTGTAAGTAATAGACATACTGTGTATTCTATATTCAAAGTGTTTAATTTACTACACGTAGTAAAGACATATTAAAATGACTGGGAAGTTCACATTAAGTTCACTTAAAACACATTGCAAATCTCAAGGTAAGATATGTAAAGCAATGTTAAAAACAAGGAAATTATCTGATAAAGTGCACTGCCTATATCATATGATATTACTTGCATGTAGTATTCTTACAACAGCTATCACTTTTAGTACACAGTGATACAAATAAATTTTTCATTGGGCAGATGCCTTTGATATCATTAAGTTGTGGCACTTCAAAAATACTTGAAAAGAGGTTTATTATGCACCATATATATATAGGTCAGTAGTTCACAGAAGCAAATCTTAGGAACTGATCTTCTATAATGACTTCTGTGACAAAGTTTTGTTTTGTTATTAACAATCTCATGCTTGGTTCATCAATGTGTTATTATGCTTAATGGTCCTATGGAAGAGTTAAAAATTCACAAATATTTTACAGAATTAAAAAAACCCAGATGTTTTCTTAGCCACTAAGTCACTGAGTTGTATTAAGTAGGATTCAATGTGCAAAAAGTATCCAGACTGTATATCAGTTAATAGTCTTTAGAAATTAGAATGAATTCTTCACCTAAAGATGTTGAATCATTTCATTCCAGGCACCCAGGGAAAAGGTTGTTGCCAAATTTGATTTTCCAGGAAGAGTAAGTAAAACATATCTGTACATTAGCAGAAGGTTGTACAATACTGTAGATCACTAAATTTTCACGACACTTTATTTTCGCGAGATAGTCATTGACTCTTTATTAGCGAGACATAATTTTCAAGAATTGCTGTTTTTACTCAATATAATCATAAGGAATACTTTTAAACGCGAGAGTGAAATTTTCTCGAGCTCATTGTCTCGCGTAATTACGCGAAAATAAAGTTCTCACGAATAAAACGTGATTTACAGTACTGTATTAGTGATCATAGCTGGCTTTATGCAGCCTAAGTTGTCAGCTCTTACAGCAGCACAAGAAAATAGAGCAGAAATCATTACAATGGGATCAATAAATTAAATTACATTTAACTGGAAAATAATACTGTATCAAGTAGATCTACAATTCTATGACAAGATACAGGTACTGTTCTTCCTCTCACAAAAGAAAAAGTTGAGACCTTGCTAATAATTTTGGCAGATTGATTTTTATAAACAACTGTTACAATGCACTGAATTACATGAATCATAGGATTTGGCAGAGAAACCTTAGTAAAAATAAAATGATCAAGAAAGCAATGGGAACCCTACGAATGATTCAAAGAAATGTAATAGGCCAGAGTTTTGGTCCTTGATCTTCTTGATTTACTCTTTATATCAGATACAGTTTAGGAGATGTTTGTTTGTCTTGAATGATAACTGAATCTTTTTCAGGACCCGGAGGATCTACCGTTCAGGAAGAGTGAGGTATTAGAAGTCATCTCTAAGGATGAAAAGGACTGGTGGACCTGTAGAAACAGCAGAGGAAATGTGGGTCAGGTTCCCGTCCCTTACGTCTCAAAGGTTAGTATCGGGGCGGTCAGAGGAAATTTGGGTCAGGTTCCCGTCCCTTACGTCTCAAAGGTTAGTATCGGGGGAGGTCAGAGGAAATGTGGGTCAGGTTCCCGTCCCGTGCGTCTCAAAGTTTAGTATGGGTCAGACTCTCAAAGGTTAGAATCAGGGGCAGTCAGAGGAAATGTGGGTCAGGTTCCCGTCCCTTACGTCTCAAAGGTTAGTATCAGCGGAGGTCAGAGGAAATGGTCAGGTTCCCATCCCTTACGTCTCAAAGGTTAGTATCGGGGCAGTCAGAGGAAATGTGGGTCAGGTTCCCGTCCTATAGGTCTCAAAGGTTAGTATCAGCGGAGGTCAGAGGAAATGTGGGTCAGGTTCCCGTCCCTTACGTCTCAAAGGTTAGTATCGGGGCGGTCAGAGGAAATGTGGGTCAGGTTCCCGTCCCTTATGTCTCAAAGGTTAGTATCAGCGGAGGTCAGAGGAAATGGTCAGGTTCCCGTCCCTTACGTCTCAAAGGTTAGTATTGGGGCAGTCAGAGGAATGTGGGTCAGGTTCCCGTCCTATAGGTCTCAAAGGTTAGTATCAGCGGAGGTCAGAGGAAATGGTCAGGTTCCCGTCCCTTACGTCTCAAAGGTTAGTATCAGCGTAGGTCAGAGGAAATGTGGGTCAGGTTCCCGTCCCGTACGTCTCAAAGGTTAGTATCAGGGGAGGTCAGAGGAAATGTGGGTCAGGTTCCCGTCCTATAGGTCTCAAAGGTTAGTATCAGCGGAGGTCAGAGGAAATGTGGGTCAGGTTCCCGTCCCTTACGTCTCAAAGGTTAGTATCGGGGCGGTCAGAGGAAATGTGGGTCAGGTTCCCGTCCTATAGGTCTCAAAGGTTAGTATCAGCGGAGGTCAGAGGAAATGGTCAGGTTCCCATCCCTTACGTCTCAAAGGTTAGTATCGGGGCGGTCAGAGGAAATGTGGGTCAGGTTCCCGTCCTATAGGTCTCAAAGGTTAGTATCAGCAGAGGTCAAAGGAAATGGTCAGGTTCCCATCCCTTACGTCTCAAAGGTTAGTATCGGGGCGGTCAGAGGAAATGTGGGTCAGACTCTCAAAGGTTAGTATCGGGGCGGTCAGAGGAAATGTGGGTCATGTCAATCCTGTAGGTCTCATAGGTTTGTGTCTGGACTAAAGCAGTCTAGCAGCATTATTTGTACTAAAAAAGTTAATTAGACAAGGGTAAAGCGAATCAGTGGTCAAAAACAATGCTCTTCACATAAGTTTGACCAGTATTCCATTTGCATTTTACTTGACTAAGTTCCAAAGCATTTACGCGATACTGAAGACTTAAGCATACAAAACTGAAAATGCAAGTGCATCTTTGAATATACAGATTTTGTAGAGCTACCAAGTTCTAGCTGGTTTAATTTTTACCCTTTGAGGCTTAAAATATTTTATAGGTAACAAAATAACTCTATTTAATTCAGTTTATTTGTTTCTTTTCAGTATGACCCAAACAGTCCCCCAGTGGTTGCGACCCCTGCTGCTCCACCCCAGTCAACCCCATCACCAACGCCAACCCAGCCAATCAAAGAGGTGAGTACACATATAAAACGTTAAACCCCCCCCAACCCAGCCAATCAAAGAGGTACATATACCATAGCATAATCAATTCTCAAAATTTGATTCTTATAAGGGGAGAGAATACAGAAATACTAAAATTTGGATAGGACAAAAGTACAAAAAAATTGTGTTCAATGAAGTGTTAAACATTCTTTTTTTGTGCCATGCATCATAATATTTTTCTAGAATTTTTCAATCTGCTGCAACTTTTTTTGTAATTGTCAAGATTCAAAATAATACTAAACTTTATTTGACAAAGAGAATTTAATCAAAGTACTCAGAAGTACAGAGAGCCAGGCTCATTTACAGAGTAGAATGGATTTCTTACATGAATCACGTTTAAATTCTGATGAAAAAATTATTTTAAAACTATCAATATAAATGATAAGACACTGACAGTGAGTTTTTCAATCCTAATTCTACGGTCCGATTTTGTCAGAATCGGAATTAATCTGGTATCGCAGCCGAATGTAAACAAACAGGCCAGTCTGGTTCCCTCTCCTGCTTTACCTTGTATGTGTAGAGAACTACGGTAACACTGATTATCAAAAATGAACTATGTTCTTTGACTTATGAAGTTTTCAAAGTCATTACTACTAATGTTTATTTTATATAGATAAAACTTCGTTTTATTTTTGTTGCTTTATTTAGCGTTTGTATTATCTCAAAAGCGGTTGAGAGTAAGAACTATATTTTTGCACGTAACTTTAAAATGGCGACTATGGGGTCAACATCCTGCCTTGAACAGGATCACATAAGCCGGCAATTGCTCTTTGAGCAATAAGCCTGGCTAAAAACACACAAAAATTGCTAAAATCAGGCATGTAGTATCAGGGCCCCCCTCCCACTATTTTATTTCCATATTCCACAACTTTTTACTATTGAAAATGAACATTGAAAGTGTGCCCAACTCCCCCTTGTTTGCAATATAGCCAAATAAGGGAAATCTTGAAGTGAAAGTTTGAAGGTCCCCCCCCTCCCCAACAATCATATTTCTTGCATTAAAAGATGACTTGTTTATCTGGCATATGTACATGCACATGACTATGTTAAGAAACATTGCTGAGAAATTTTTATATGATGATTAATTTCTAACTGATTTTTTCCCATGTTTTAGATTCAGCTTCCAGCAAAAGCTGTAGTCATCCATCAAAGGATACCGAGTGCATATGACCGCACTCAGCTTAAACTAGAGGTAGGTTTGTGTGTTATACTTGTACTCAATCGTTCAATTTGAGTGAAAGCAAATACTGCCTTCTGAAATAATTAAATAGATCTTTCATGGAACATGAAGTTAGCAATTTTTTTCTAAAAATGTTTGGATTATGTTTCTATTTTACAGGTATAATTCTAACAATATGTATATACATGTATTTGATCTTGATCATTGCAGAAAGGTGAAACTATTATTGTGACAAAAATGAATTCAAATGGACTCTGGGAAGGCGAAGTGAATGGAAAAAAAGGAATGTTCCCATTTACCCATGTGAAATTTTTAGATGACAATTCTGAGGATGGGACATAACAGGAGCCTTGCTAATGTTAACTAATTACTGTCTATTAATAGTGCTGATGTAACAATATGGAGTCTGGGAGTTGTCTTCCCTGGTGGTGCTGCATTACTAATCTGAACCAAAAACCAGAAACAGAGGGCGTTGTTTCAGTAGGCTTGTCAAATTGTTTTCTGTCAATAAGCTTGTCCAGAAAGTGTTAAAATGTTTTTGGGCAAGGTCTCCATTTGGAAATTATGGATCAAATCTTTATTATGCTTTACAGAATCATAAGATGTAGACGAGTATCAAAAAAGTTAAAAAAAATTCTAATTTAGAAAGTGTTTTCAGAATTCATTCAGAGATACATGTAAATCAATATGTTGTTTAACAGTTTAAGAATGGGTCACAAAACGTTTGTTTTATATGGTTAAACAATCCTACTACATTTAATGATAAAGCATGTACGAGGGTCATTCAAAAAATACGTAGACAATGCTTCTCATCGTCATATGATTATTACAAGATTATCGATCAACACATTTTTGTAAACATAAACATTTATTTTGTCGAAGTGTGAAGTTTCATTCCATTTGATTAAACAGAACTCACGTTAGCCAAAATTAAAAGCAACATGTTTTGTTACCACGGAGCACGGTTAACCAGTATTGTAACGTCAAAAACAACGCTGAGAAAGTTTGCCAAAAGTATACACATTTTTGTTCTTTCAAACACGGTTTGTTGCGTCTTCTCCATTCAAAACAATAATCCACAATACTTAACACCTGGTTTGCTAACAATTGTACAAATATAGCTTGAATTAGAATGTTATTGTTTTCAAATTCTTTGATTTACCATGCAACTTTATTATTTCTGCAACATTGAAGCACATATCACGTTCAATGACGTTCCTAACTATTTTGACAATATTTTTAACTTTAACCTGTTTCTTTGCAGACAATCCATCGTCCGATTCAAACTCGCAACCACTCAAAAAATTGTATTTTCAACTAAATACAAATACACAGATTTTTTTCTATACAAATTCTGAATTATAAGGATTTTTTAAGCTTGTAGAAAAAGTTTCCCGAATGTAAAGTCTAATTTTATTGCTACTTGCTGCTCCGTGACGTCCTACAGCGTCATGGTTTTTTGCCTTTTTTAATCAAGTCCATATGTATTTAGAAGCTGATATCTTTTAAATGGAACGAGATATTACATAACCTGATTTCATTTTAATTAATGCAGCAATACTTTATTTAAACATGTAAATTTTATTTCGATTCAGCTCCATTTATTAGAGGTATAGCTGTAAATACTATAAAGTGAAAATTAGAAAATTTCTAAATTTTGACGGTGCTCCGTGACCCCATTTTTGCTGTTCTAAATCCTTGGTAATTTTAATAAATATGAGAATACATTCCAATTTTTTTACTCAAATTATTTGAATCTGTTGTTAAAATATTTGTACCAAATTTGGATATAATATGACGTTAAATAAAAAAGTTAGGACAAAAGTCTACGAACTTTTTGAATGACCCTCGTACATGTATGTATTTGTTATATCATATCAGTATTACAATGTTAACAATAGGTTAGAGAATATATACATGTATGTGTAGAATGTGTCAGTTTACAAGCCAAAAATTAGCGGTACAGTCGCCATGCATTCTCCTTAAAATAGCTCCCCTTCCAAAACTACAACGAAGGAAAACAGTTCATAGTTTGTATTCATTCTGACTAATTGTTGAAAATTTTCAGGTTTGCTACAAGCTTTACCCATCATGAGTCTGACATCCAGCATATATACAGGTTAAATTCCTTGTGGAAAAGTTAGCTTTCAGTTGTGACCTCGTACATGTATGTATGATACTGAATTTGAATATGTACATTGAATATTTTCACACAAAAAAGAAGCCATGTTTTTAGAAAATAACACATAAAGCTATTGCACTTTCTTTTGATTTGTTAATTTAGCATTTTGATACATTGAATTTCAACACAGAATTCTCAAATATTAAAGATATGTTAGGTGATTTGGAATTTCCAATAACTAATGGTTAGGTAATTAACTTGTACCGGGTATATCTTGAATCCTCCAATACCTGGATTTTTTTTTTTTTCGGTTCCATCAAGTACAAGATAACGAGGTACGATTGTAATTTTTCCCAGAATTTGTAAACTGCCATCAAAGCAAGCTTTATTTATATACTATTAAATATGATATGAGTAAATCTACTCAACAGAAATACATGTAAAATGAGGTTCCTACATCAGTGCATAATAAGATCATTTAGAATCTTTAAAATAATAATGAGTAGTCTATTAACTTTTGTGCTCTTTTTTCTTACTTAGGTGTAATATGTTCCACAGCCTATTATGTATTTAAAGTGTTTTATATTGCTGATTTAAGTGTTCTAATGTTTAGCTGTTCACTTATAAAAGTCATGTAGTGCAATGTATAGTGATATATGTGATAATTAGAGTACATGGTACGTACTGAGGAAGAATGAATGTTAGTTCTATCATCCATGTTTTAAGTTAAACCATTTGTTTCTGTGGCTATTAATGCATTAATATTTTAATGTATTTGGACCAATGCTTCTGATATCATTATTTTTCGTAAAATTTTATAATATTTTCTCATGACTGTTTATAACATTGTTAAAAGAAATCGCCAGAGACTTGCTACATGCTAAATGATGCATGTAGTACATGCATGTTCTTAAGAATTAATGTTACCTCAAAATGTGCTTATAAACTCCAATTTGTCCAATGCAGAAAAAAATAACCAGATACATATAGTATAAAGAAAACAGATACACGTAATATAGATTATGTAGAGCATTGCTATGAAGTGGACTTGATTTTACATGAAGAAATTCATCATAATGAAAATAATCAAGTTTCTAATTAATTTTACATTTTTGACAATGAACTTATAATAAATGGATGATAAATCATGAACGATATTTTGTGGATCATGTAAAAATCAAGCATTCTGTATAGGTTACATCATAGAAGCCGAGTAGTATTGATTATATCGTTTTCATGGGGCATGGAAATCAAGATTTACGCCCCATGAAAACGATATAACCAATAGTACGAGGCGTCTATGATGTAAGCAAATTGTCGCATGTCTGATGACGTAAATTTCATTGAGAGTGTCAAAATTCAATAAAAAAATATTCAGCGTGTCATGAACTTAAGATTCATTTCAAGCAAGCTCTCCAACATGTCGGACATTCTTAGTGAATTTGATTTGACTTTTTAACTGAGTTTTAAGGTTTTGACAATTTATCTTCGAGCCAGGCACTCAACAAATATGAAATCACAGAAGCAAATATCAAGGAGTTGAACTTTCTGAAGTTTGGAGATAATAATTACCGTAACTTCCAAAATTTCAAAATGGATTAATCTTTTGAACGACTGGGAACTTTCAACCGAGTTAAATACACATATTTTAATTTAGTTAAAGGCTAAGAAATAGCTTAACATGTTCATTTTACTGTAGTTACAAACTTGTGAAATAAATTCAGTTTTTTTTCTCATGACCTGATTTCTGCCTCCTGCAGTAATATATGAGGGGACGTGGAAAGTATTATCGCATATATATGTGATATGGGATATATCACCACAGAAAGATCAAAGAAAATCACCGCAGATATGCGACAATTGCTGAATATTTCAGTGTTATTAAAACTTTGTATAAATCTTAAAATTAGATAAGTTTTCTATGTTTTGAACTGCATTTTTTATTTGATATTTGTTATCAAACAGAGTAAATAAATGTATGTGAGATAAAACAAACTAGTATTTTGATTGCAGTATTCCTAAATAATACTGTGTTATAAGAAACCAATTTTTTGCACTGTTCAATTTAATTAATTTAAGATAAATCCATTTTCATTCAGAAAATGCTGTAACACTGTTGCTGAATAACTAGTTCTTGAATAAAACTTCATATGCATACTATCTTGTTTCGTATATATGGGTTGTACTACATTCCCAGTTCTTGAAAAAAAATCCAACCAAAATTCTTAGTTCTTGAAGAAAAAATTCCCCGCTAAATGATTAAGAAGAGCTTTGTGTTTGCCTGTTCTATGTAATTCCTCAATAATAATGAATGGGACTTTCACAAAGTCTTCACTACACTGTGCTCTTTTATTTGATCAGACCAATTTTGCTATACTACTTTACCTCGAATGGGATTCATTGGAACTGGGAAGTAATTTACAGGTGATACCAAGGAATTTGCCCTTATAAGCTCAGTTGCTCACAGTACCCCTAAAAATCTCACCTGTCAGAGCTAAAGCCTCCTGAGCTTTAAAAAAATTATGAGTTATCCAATTTCAACCAAGCTGATCATAGAGCACCCTTTGGTGAAGGAAATGCAAATAATTTCAAATAAAGGGACATGGCTTCTTTATGGAGAGATATTTTTAAAGAATTCATTAAATTAAATGGAATCTTATTTTTGAAAGCTTCAACACAGAGAAGATACACATCACATAGAATTATAACCCTCTGACAGGGGCAGACATGGTAAAGGTGGACCATTTTCTGCTCATCAGTAAATTTTATCGTAGACATTTTGATACTAAAAGCTGCATTGTTTCATTTTCTGTGTAAATAAACCATGATTAAGTCAGCACTCTTCTGATTCTGCTTAGGATAAAAAAAAAAAACAATCTGTCAATTGTTTTAATATAATAATTGATCATTTTTGAAATCTATATTATATGATCGTCAAAAGACCTTGGTACAGAGTACATATCAATATTTCATTTCTGTAAAATGTTATATTGACCTTAATACTATTATCACAATCTTTAGCAGAATTTCTCAGAACAAGCTACTAATATGGCACAGTTATACATTGTAATAATATTTCTAATTTCCTTCTACAACTGAAATTTAAAAAAAAAAAAAAAGGAAAACTCATTTATAGTTATGCTTATATCACGTATCCCAATGATGTTTAAGATTATTTTCTTATCGCAACATCTTTTACTGGTACATGCATACTGCGGAATGTCATGGCATCTAATTCTTGTACTGGATGACTTTTATTTGTCCTGAATTATAACACCCTACCCACAACCTCCCCTCACTGTCCACACTCAGGCCATCAGGGACATCCAGCCCACAATTATCCACACATCTCAGTAGCTGTCCGTTCTGACTCAACAGGTGTAGACATTCATTGCTCCCGTCCACCACAATGATGCGACCCGTGGAGTCCGTCATTATCTGTCTGGGACTGAACTTGAACATCGCTCCTGGTGGTTCCTTGTTGTATCTAAATACAACTCTCCCTTTCCTATTTACAGCTACTACGACTTCAGCATTCTGATCAGCGGCCACTATCTCTCCATTGTTGTTCTCCACCACATACACTGTGTACTCCCCTCCTTGATAGATTGGGTCGCCGTGCTCATCTTTCTCTATTTCCTGTGTCA